ATGGCGAACGGAACCTCGATTTCATGTGGACAAGTACCATTCCCTGTTTCATGTACAATCGGACCTTACCGAGACAAGATTCAGTTTCAGCAAGCATCTCTCGGAGACCATGAAGTGATTCTTGGACGTGACTGGCTTTCCTTAAAAAACCCCAAGATTGATTGGACTCTTGGAACCATCACCATCTCTCACTCTGGAAGAGACATCACCTTACCTACCTTCTCCTCCTCCTCCTCTACCCCCACTTGCTGCAACCTCCTCTCAAAACGGCAACTAAAAAAATCCCTCAAGGACCCAAGCTCTCAATTCTTCCTCTGTTTTTTGAATCAAATTTCAGAAACTCCTACTCTCCCTTCCCCTCCCAAGGCTGCTGAAATCCCTTCTGAAATTCAACAGGTTGTCAATGAGTTCAAAGACATCTTCCCTACGGATCTTCCCTCTTCACTTCCTCCGAAGCGTATCATCGATCACCGCATCATCTTACAACCCGGTGCTGAACCTACCGTTCGTGCTACGTACCGGATGAGTGCTGCCGAGCTGAAAGAAGTCCAGAAGCAGTTGGAGGAACTCCTTGAGAAGGGCTTCATCCGCGTCAGCTCCTCTCCCTATGCAGCACCGATTCTCTTCGTCAAAAAGAAAGATGGCAGCATGCGCATGTGCGTTGACTACCGTGCGCTCAACAAAATCACCGTCAAGAATCGCTACCCGCTACATCGAGTGGAAGAACTCTTTGATCAACTTGGTGAGGCCACAATTTTCAGCAAGCTGGACCTACGAAGTGGTTACCATCAAGTGCGTGTCGCTGACGAAGACATCGAGAAAACCGCCTTTCGAACACGGTATGGGCATTTCGAGTTTCTCGTGCTTCCTTTCGGACTAACGAACGCCCCTGCCACCTTCATGTCCTTGATGCACAGTGTCTTTCGGGATTTCTTGGACCGGTTTGTCATCATCTTCATCGATGACATTCTGATTTATAGCAAATCCTTGAAGGAACACGCCGAGCATCTAAGGCAAGTCTTCACACGGCTTCGTGAGCATCGTCTCTTCGCCAAACAGAGCAAGTGTGAGTTTGCCAAGCCCTCGATTCCTTTCTTGGGCCACATCATCTCACACAACCAGCTTGCTATGGACCCTTCCAAAGTCCAAGCCATCAGAGAATGGAAGGAGCCAACCTCTATCAAGGAAGTACAAGCCTTCCTTGGTCTTGCCAACTACTACCGCAAGTTCATTCGACACTTTGCTGCCATCACCTCTCCCTTATCCAACCTCCTTCGCAAGAGTGAACCATTCCATTGGGACTCTGACCAGCAAACTGCCTTCAATGCTCTCAAGTGTGCACTAACCTCTTCTCCTACTCTAGCCCTACCCAACCCCTCCCTTCCCTACGTGATATGGACAGATGCGTCTCAGGTTGCAACGGGTGCAATCCTTTGTCAAGATCAAGGGCATGGCCTTCAGCCTATCGCCTTCGAGTCCCGGAAACTCAAACCTGCCGAGTGCAACTATGCAACTCACGATCGCGAGGCGCTGGCCATCGTCCATGCAATCAAGAAGTGGCGCTGCTATGTTCACATGCAGCCCGTCACTGTTCTTACCGATCACTGCACCCTGCAATACCTGAAGACGCAGCCCCATCTCACCCCGAGGCAGGCCCGATGGATGGAGTACCTGGAACAGTACGTACCGGAGCTGAAAATCGAATACCGCGCTGGCCGCCTCAACCCTGCTGATTCTTTGACCCGGCCTCCTCAACCTCAGCTCACCACCATCGGAAGCGTCACATGGGACGAAAGCTTCATCAATAAATTTACCAAAGGGTATCGTCGTGACCGTTTCTATCTCTACTCTGCCGCTGATGATAAATCTGTCTTCTACGAATCCCCCTTTTGGTATAAGGCAGATTCCCGAGTCATCTGCGTCCCCGCAGAGCGCAAGCTTCGTCATCTCCTGCTACGCGAGCATCATGACCAGAATGGGCACTTCGGAGTGGACAAAACGCTTGCAACCATCTCTTCCAACTTCTTCTGGCCCAAGCTCTCTCGAGACGTCCGCTCCTACGTACGCAGCTGCCACACATGCCAGTGCAACAAGGCTCGCAACGCAGCACCCTACGGCCTGCTACACCCCTTGGAAATCCCTCAGCTCCCATGGACTCATGTGACACTCGACTTCATCACAGATTTGCCTCGCACCTCCTCCCATCACAACGCTATCCTCACCGTGGTAGACAAACTCAGCAAGATGGCACACTTCCTCCCTACCTCCACCACCGCTACAGCTGAGAACGTTGCTGATCTCTTCTTCAACGAGGTGGTACGTCTCCATGGCATTCCTTCCGTACTAATCAGTGACCGTGATTCTCGGTTTGTTGGCAGATTTTGGCAGTCCCTTTTCAACAGATTGGGCACCAAGATTCGTCTCTCCACTGCCTACCATCCTCAGTCCGATGGGCAGACCGAGAGGATGAATCGAACCCTTGAAGATGCCCTGCGTGCATGTGTGAGTGCATGACAAAACGATTGGGACCAGCACCTGCCATCAATCGAATTCTCCTACAACAACACGGTGAACCTCGCCACGGGACAAACCCCTTTCTTCCTCGCTACAGGGCAGCAGCCCCGCACACCAGCTTCTCTCGTACGCAGCAGTGACACCAAACCAGCAGCCGACTTCCTCTCCACTCGGGAAAAGACCATTGCAGCAGCACGCGCTTCCTTGCTCAAATCCCAACATGATCCGGTACGCCGATCAACACCGTCGTGACATTCAGTTCCATGTAGGTGACCAAGTCCTTCTCTCCACCACAAACCTTCCCTTGCTGCAGAAAGGTCTCACTCGTAAGCTTGCACCTCGTTTCATCGGCCCTTTCACCATCACTCAAGTTCTCTCTCCTCTCACCTACCGTTTAAAACTTCCACCACACATCAACATACACCATGTTTTTCACGTTCAGCTGCTACGTCCTTACCACATTCCTCCAGCCCATTTTCCCCTCTTACCTCTGCCTCCTCGGCCTCCTATGTTCACATCTAACCCTGATCTCTTTGAAGTTGAGAAAATTCTGTCCCATGAAACCTCTCCTCGCGGCACTTACTTCCTTGTTAAGTGGTGTGGGAAAGACTCCTCTCACAACCTCTGGATACCCGAGACAAGCCTTCAGAATGCCCAGAGAGCCCTTCAGAGCTACCTTGCATCTGCTCAAGCACCGAGGACGGTGCTTGCTGGAGAGGGGAGTAATGTAACAAGACGAAGGCGATCTCGCCTTCCTCGATTTCGCCAACTCAGCTCCTTGTGATCCGAACCAGAATTCGGAACACACCCTAAGTGCATTTCGGGAATTCAATGTTGGAATCCCAACCTTGAAATGTGCGACCCGACTTTCTGAGTTTCCAACCGTGGGAACAACTCCAGAGAGCACACTAGTGCTGGACACAACGGGGCAGAGAACTACCTACAGCGCAGCAGATTACTTGACAGCACAAGACCCTACAGCTATGGCTACTTCCAACAGAGCTCGTGCTCATCATGATCAATGACAGCATGGACGACAACAAGACAAATAATCTCTGCCCATTACCTTAGTGAATTCCTAGGCTTTGCTAATTGGTTCTAGGACTAGACAACAAGGCTAGGATGTCTTGTACATAATCATAATGACTATGCCTTGCTGTTCTTAGCTCTAGGAAGGTGAATGGCGACCTGAGCGACCTGCTCAAGGCGCCCATGCTATTATCCTAGTATATTAGGATATGTCTCTGATGTGTAAGCCCCATCATATGATCTCTTGTAAAGCTATCTTACTACTTTCATCCTAAAATTCTCCTAAGAGCACTTCCTACTACTACTACTCTGCCCAAACAGCTTAGTGGCTGTTTCACCATCCTACCGTGCCCCTGCAACGTCTTCCCGCTGCTTCGACTGGCTGCTTTACCGCACGAAGCTACCACATGGCATCGATGTTGCCGCGGCGGGCCCCCCTTTCCCCCCACCCCGCCTTTTCCCCTCCCGTATCCTCCTCTTCCCCGCCCCGTGATGCACGGACGGTGCCGACATTGCAGCCATCACACCTCGCCTGATGTTACCGCTTCAGCACGCATTTCAAGGCCATCGCGGCTCCACAAATCTGCGATGCGCTCCCTTCCAATGCGATGAGCTGCACCCTGCGCTTTGCTTGCTCGCCGCCGGATCCTCTTCCGCCTCTTCTTCGCCTGGCGGCCAAACTCATGGCGTACATTGGTGCGACGGTACTACCTGGTCCGACATATTCAATTCATTCTCTCAGGTTCATAATTACTCAGCATATCTGGCGAATGTTAAGGAGCCTGAACTGGGCGGATCTAATGCAACTGCGCCGACAATCAGCGACGCGGGGCGGGGCCACAAGAAAGATCTCGTTGCATCCTGAATCCTGACCTTCCCACAGGAACAATTTCAGGAGCCTCCTGAGATTCCGCCTGCGTCGTTATCGCCTTCGCGATGCCAGCGTCGAGTAAGCGATGCTCTCGCTGCTGGCGCGGACTATCGTCAGCGGCGCCTTGGCGTTTCGCGGCTAAGGGCCCGTGGCCCCACAGATGCGATGCGACCCCTGGGGTCTTGCCTGCCTGCCTTGTCTAGAAATCTATGTTTATCGCTCCTATTCAGAATCATAACAGAATCATAACCCGCCCCTGTTCAACGGCCGCTCGTTCCTTCTTCACCTGCGTTTGTCGCGCAACTGATTCAACTCGTCAGCTGCCTAACGTTCCTGTGATTCAACTCGTCAGCACGTCTGCTCCTGACGACTCCCAGTTCTAGAATAGCGAGACGCCGTGAGCAGAATGGCATTCTTTGATTCTCGAGTCCTGCTTCTGATCGGTACGTGTTCGCTAGTGTGTTTCTGCTTCTAATTGTTGTGTTGCTTTTCTTGATTGTTCTTCTTTGAACCGTGTTAGTGTGAAAGGCTTCTCGAACTGACCCTGGATCCTGTTTGGTGGGTCGGATTGTCTGAATTATTGCAGGCTGTGCTGCGGCGCTGCTGGCAACTGCCCTGGGAAATGACAAGGACTCCTGTGAGTCTCTCTTGCTACCCCTGTGGTCATCTTTCCTGTTTACCTCTGCAGCTATCTCCGCTGCTTCGCTGCTGCTACTCCTGCAGCTATCTCCGCTTCTGCCCCCATATCTCCCCTGCTACCCCTGCTACTATCTTTCCTTTCGGGCCCTGGTGCAAGCCATGCAGCCATTGTTTTCTGCTTTCTTAGCTGCTAACGTCTTGATTGCTCCTACCGCATGCTCTTTTTGTATTCCTAGTTTTCATCAATTTATGATTCCCATGATGCATAGAAGTGGCATCATAGTTCAACAGACCTGTGTTGCACAGATAAGAATCCCACCCTTGACCTTCTGTTCCTTCCCCCCTGCAGGCACCTTTGCGGCAACGCTCCTGGGAGTGAACGAGGTTCCCAAGAACAACTCCAAGGCAGCCAAAGCCTCTGTGGGTGACCTGCGAGGTGTGGGCTACCTGCGCCTCACAATCTACAGGTACTTTCTCTTTCACTCACTTAGTTTTAAATGTCCCATATTCAAATTTCTACCTTTAGACGTCTGAAAGGTTTTGAGACATCTCAAAACTCGAGGCGTTGGCTACCTGCACCTCACATTCTATGGGTACTCACTCTTTTACTCACAAACTCTATTGCTGAGGCGTCTGGACAAGCAGTGAAAAAGTACCATACATTCTGACTTCATCGCATGAGCTTTGCCGTATAAGTGGTTTTAATTTTACAATAGTGAATCCAATACGAGATTCTCTGCTGTGATTCATTAAGCTTTTACCTTACCCTTTTCTTTCTTTCTTTATCTATGTGCGTGCTGTTTCCGTTTAACATTGCTGGAATGATGCTGATGGTGATGGTGACAGCTCTCCAGCATGGGCCAAGTTCCAGGTGACTGTGCGTCGGCTCAAGGGAGAGATGCCGCCCACCAAGACACACGTGCATGCGGGGAAGAAGGGAAAGACCGGCGGCGTGCTTCTGGACCTGCCGTGTGTGTATGTGAAGAAAGGGGATGAATATTGGCTCTGTGAGGGCAGCCTGGGCAAGAACGAGAGCGAGCGTACGGAGGAACTCAAGGCGGCTCTGAGCAACATTGCAAAGCGCCCTTCGAGCTACTATGGGAACGTTCACACAAAGCGTTATCCCGATGGTGCTGTGCGTGGCCAGCTGCGTAAGGTGTAGTCAGTTTGATAGGCTGATAGCATAACGAGATGGAGAGCAGTAGTACTGCTTTCTCTGATGGGCTTGACAATGGGGAATTGACTGGTGAGAGATGTTCCTTCCTGTAGTGTAATGACGTGCTGGTGGGATGTGTGGGTAGGGTGGGTTGGGGGGAGAAGATGTTTGTGTTCGAGTGATCCAAGCAGCTTTCTTAGTGCAGATGGTGTACGTTCTCTGAGTATATATATTATTGGAAATGTTCCGCTAAGGAAGACTGTAACTTGTTGCCTTGGTGATTCGTGACATGCAGATGCAGCTGAGAGCCAATTCCCCTGCCATCCTCGTTTGTAGAACGTACGTAAGGAGGCGACGCAATCCTGATTCTCGTCCTCACACGAGTTACAGTGGAGCTAGTGTCAGGGATGTGTCGATTTTGGCTCGACGTTTTTCTAGATGCACCCGATTATCGAGGGTCAGGCAACCGGAAGTTCGTTCCCTAGAAATCAACGAATAGGCCCGAGAGCGGGCACCCAGTAGCATGTACAGTGCGGCATCCCCAAGACACACACGTGCATCCATCCCTACATCCATCCTCCATCCTCTCTGCTTGCCCCCATTTTACTGTCTTCAATTTCGCAAACCTCCTGTCAATCCAAGGGATTTACTTGCCAACAGCGTTGCTCTGCTCCGCCCTTTCACGGCGTTAGATGGACATTGCGTCTCTGCACGCATACCCTCTCGTCACACGATGTTTCATTTTCCTTCGTTCCCGCGGCGGACTGATTTCATGAACTCGTTTTGCAAAACTAGGAAATGCACCTCGTTTTTCGTTATTGCGTGAGGGGTGAAGTACGATGGCGGAACTAGCTGAAAAGCAGAAGCGAAACCGCCGGCGGTGACGGCGACGGCGACGGCGACGGCGACGGTGACTGCGACAACGGAAACAGCGGCTCACGGGATTGCGAACGTCGGGTCTCCTTCACAGAACGCAGCGCTCTCAGCGCGCCGAGCACTACGCCGCGTCAGAAGGAGATGCGCGCTGCGAGTGTAACGTGTCCCTCAGCCGTCGAGCGTGATTCCGGGGCTCGCTTAACGACATTCGACTGTTTGACGTCCACCTGCCGCAGGAGAACACGTAGGCTACAGACAGCTGTAGCAGTTAAAAATAAAGAAAGCTAAAAGCATCTAGGATTTTGTAGGCGTGCTGGAGTGTAGATGTTAAGAGAAAAAAAGTGTAATTACGCTGGCTGGTAGATGATGGAGAGCCGTGAGAGAGAAGCGGGAGGCTTAGCAAGCGTGGACGCCACGTCATCCGCCCCTCGCGGCGAATCTCACGGCGCGTCTCACGGCGGGTCTCGCGGCAGCGATTCGAAGAAATCTAGGAGCGAGTCCAGTGGCGGCAAGGGGCGGAAGGGTCAGAAGCACAAGAAGCAGCGCGATGTTCTTAAAGACGCCCAAGAAGCACAGGAACGACTCAGGCGACTCGCTGCCTCTGGAGGGGGCTCGCTGGGGGCCACGGGATGGGGCGACGAGGGCGTTGATGGCGCAGGGGGGGGGCAGGGGGACATGCAGGGGGAAACGCAGGGATCGGCAGTAAATGAGTTTGTTACTGTTACGAGTTTTGGTGATATAACGGGGGGGAGGGGGATGCGAAGGGAGGGTGAGGGTGGAATGGCTGGGGTGGATGCTGGTTGGGGTTGTCAGGCGGGTGAGTCGTCTGGTGGAGTGGGGTTTGGAGTGGTGGAGATGGGTGTGGAAGTGTATGGAGAGCAGGAAAGTGGTCAGTTTGAGGGTTACGGTGCTAGGCAGGGGGGGGAGGCTCAGAGGCAGTTTTGGGAGAAGGCGCAGGGGCACTTTGGTGGGGAGGCGCAGGGGCAGACTTGGGGGGAGGCGCAGGAGCACTTCGGGGGGGAGGCGCAGGGACGGGCTTGGGGGGAGGCGCAGGGGTATGGGGGGGCAGGGGAAGAGCGCAGCTGGGGCGGTCAAGGGGAAACAAACTGGGAGAGGGGGGGGAATGGCTATCCGGGCGGAGGGGAAGGGTCTGCATGGGGCGGAAGTGTGGACGGGCGCAACTGGGGCGGGGGTGAGGGGGAAGGGAGTGGGCGGAGAGGGGGATGCGGAGGGGGATGGGAAAAGGGATGGGGCAGAGGCAAGGGGTGGCGGAGAGGAGGGCGGGGGAGATGGGGAAACGGTTGGGGGAGGGGACGGGGGCAAGAGGGGGAGTATGGGGGAGGAGGAGGGGGTTATGGGGGAGGGGATTACGGGGGAGGAGGGTACGGGGGAGGAGAGGGGTATGGTGGGGGAGGGGGGTATGGGAGGGGAAGGGGGTATGGGGGCGGAGGGAGGTATGGGGGCGGAGGGGGGTATGGGAGCGGAGGGAGGTATGGGGGCGGAGGGGGGTATGGGGGCGGAGGTGGGTATGGGGGCGGAGGTGGGTATGGGGGCGGAGGGGGGTATGGGGGGGAAGAATATGGGGGAGGAGGATTCACTACGGAGAGCGGGGAGCAGCAGGGGTGGCAGGGGCAAGAGGGGACAGCACAGGAGGGGGAAGTGCAGGGGCAATACAATAGGCTGTGGGAAGGGCAGGGACTGGGAGCAGGGAACTGGGGGGGAGCACGAGATATGGGAGGAAGGAGGGGATGGGTAGAAGGGCAGCAGCAACAGTATTGGGGGGGGCAGAGACAGGGGAAAGACTGGGGGGAGGGGCGGCAGCGGGGGAGGGAGGACCAGGGGCAATTTGAGAGTGGGGGAGAGAAGCAGGGATGGGGAGGTGAGGAGCGGAGGGGAGGGTGTGATGGGGAGGCATGGGAGGGGCAGGGGGAGAGTGGAGGGGAGTGGCAGTGGCAGAAACAGCAGAGTGATTCCCCCACACCTTATGCCGAGCCTGACGCCTCTGGTTCGGGCAGTGCCGAGCCTGGCCCGTCTGGTTTGGATTGTTACGAGCCTGCTCTGGGCAGTGGTCCAGCTGGTGCCAGCTGTCGGGGCGGCGTTGGTGCAGGTTCTGCCACGGCGGTAGCAGAGGAAGCAGCCGGGAAGGTTCCGGTGTATGATGGGTGGGGGGATATAGTGGGATGGAGGGATGCTGATGATGAGGGGAGCAGTGCACCCAGGCCTGCTGCTGCTGCTCCTGCTGCCACCGCCGCTGCTGCTGCTGCTGCTGCTGCTGCTGCTGCCGCTGCTGCTGTTGCTGCTCCTGCTGCTGCTGCTGCTGCTGCTGCCGCTGCTGCTGTTGCTGCTCCTGCTGCTGCTCCTGCTGCTGCTGCTGCTGCTGCTGCTGCTGCTGCTGCTGCTGCTGCTGCTGCTGCTGCTGCTGCTGCTGCTGCTGCTGCTGCTGCTGCTGCTGCTGCTGCTGCTGCTGCTGCTGCTGCTGCTGCTGCTCCTGTTTCTGCTGGTGCTTCTGGTGATGCTGCTGTTGCTTTTGCTGGTGCTGCTACCATCACACCTCCCACCATCACTCCTGCTCCTGTCACACCGGCTACTGCATCTGCTGCCGTTGCTGATGCTGCTGCCAGTGCTGCTGGTGGTCATGTTGGTGGCACCACCACCAACAACAGTAACAGCATCGACAACAGTAGCACCATCAGCAGCAGCATGAATGGGGGCAGTGCTGTGCGGGCTAGCAGGAGAGGGTGGCAGGTGTATGAGCCACCAATGCAGAGGGATAGCAAGGAAAGGGAGAGGGAGAGGGAGGAGCAAGAGAGGGAGAGGGAGAGGGAGAGGGAGAGGGAGAGGGAGAGGGAGAGGGAGAGGGAGAGGGAGAGGGAGAGGCAAAGAGAACAGGAAGAGAGGGATGAAAGAGAGAGGCAGAAAGAATTGGAGGAGAGGGGCGAGAGAGAGCGGCAGAGGGAAAAGGAGGTGGTGGGTACAACGATTGTGGGTGGTGCGGCGATTGTGACACTACAGGGCGCCTGGAGTAAAGGACCTCCCATAAGCTCTTCTCCTGCTGCTGATTCTGCCCCTGCTGCTGCTACCGCTGCTGTTGCTAATGCTGCTCCTGGTCCTGCTGCTGTTAATGCTGCCCCTGCTGCTGCTGATGCTGCCCCTGCTGCTGATAATGCTGCCCCTGCTGCTGCTGATGCTGTTCCTGCTGCTGCTAATGTTGCTCCTTCGAATGCTGCTGCTACAGCAACTGCTTCTGCTGATGCTGCCGGTGCAAACTCCTCACTTTCCACTCCCAGTCCCCTTGATAGCTCCCCCAGCCAATGGCCATCTGCCACGTCACATTCAGCAGGAAGAGGAGCAGCGGGCGGATGGGGGAGGGGTAGGGGTAGGTGGAGGGGGAGGGGGTGGGGTAGGGGGAGGTGGGGAAGGGGATGGGGACGAGCAGGTTGGGGGGATGACTTCAGAGGCCAGGGGGGAAGTGAGGGTTATAGAGGGAGTGACGGTTGGCGAGAGAGTGAGGAAGGGAGCACTGGCAGTGGTGGTGGGTGGAGCGAGGGGTGTGAAGTATGGGGACGGGTTTCGTTTGATTCAGAAGCCCGTTCATCACCACAGCAATACCTTGCAGCAGCAGCATCACCACCCTTCCCTGCTACGCCACCACCCTACCTCCTGCCATCGGGGCCACCCCACCTTCCCCAGCCGAACCTGTCTGGTTTTGGGACCTCCCAGGGCCTGTCACAGCAGCAGCTGCCCCAGCAGCAGGTGTCTGTGTGTGCGGTGAAGCCTTCGCGCAAGGCACAGCGCACAGAGGAGTGGGTGAGAGAGGCCGCCGCTGCTGCTGCTGCAGGTGCTGATGGTGCCGAGGATTCGGACGATTGCAGTGCTGCTGCGGAAACGCACGATGCCACTGCTGTGGTTGCAGCAGCTGCTCCGGCTGTTGGTGGTGTTGGTGCTGTTGGTGGTGTTGGTGGTGTTGGTGGTGTTGGTGCTGTTGGTCGTGTTGGTGAACGAGCAGCGAAAGCAGCTCGAGAGGCCTCCGAAGCTGGAGGTCCTGCTGCTGCAGCGGCTGCTGCGCCTGCGACAGCGGCAGGTGGGAGCTTGGCGGAAAGGGATGGGGGGGCAGAGGGGATTGCAGCTGCTCCAGCAGCAGCAGATTCCCGGGCGGCGGCAGATTCCCGGGCGGCGGCAGATTCCCGGGCGGCAGCAGATTCTCGGTTGGCAGATGGCAGGGATGGTGGTGGGTCTGAAGGAGCAGGGATCGAGTTTGAAAAAGCAGAGGGAACGACAGTCGGAGGCAACAAGGGAGGGTTTGGTAGCACAGAGGAAGAAGAGGAGGGGGGAGGAGAGGAACGATGGGAGAAGGGAGAGGAGGAGGGAGGGGAGGGGAGAGAGGAAGGAGGGGAGGATAGGGAGGAGGAGGCAGGGGAAGAACAACGAGTGAAAGAAATAGAGGAGGCAGGAGGCAGTGGCGCATACCTTGACCTGCCATCCAACACGTGTTCTTTCTCGGATGGCGGCGAGGGCTTTGACTCGGATGTGGACAGTGAGGAGGAGATGGAGTCGCTGTTCCTCGACAGCACTCTGGCAGACGACTGGCCGCTGTATGGCGTGGGCATGGAGGGAATGGCGGGCCGTGCAGGGACGTCCACTCAGGTACGCTGGCTTATTGTGGAGGGACGTCTCAGTAGACAGCGTACTCGGATGTGGAGAGGAGAGTGAGGAGGAGATGGAGTCGTTGTTTCTTGACAGCACACTGGCAGACGACTGGCCGCTCTATGGTGTCGGCATGGCGGGATTTGCAGGCTGTGGGGCAGGAGGGGAAGCGAAGGGAGGAGGGAGGACGTCCACTCAGGTACGTTGGCTTCTTGTGCAGTAGACAGCAGTGCACGTGATAAGAGTGAAGACAGCACTTCTTGAGACGTGTCAAAACTTCACTCTTATCACGCAGTAGACAGCATTGTATCTCCTGACTTGCCAAGTTTTGAGGCGCCTCAAAACTAGGCATTGTATCTCCTGACGACTTGCCATCCAACGCTCGGATGGCGGCGAGGGCGAGCAATGACTCGGACGTAGAGAGCGAGGAGGAGATGGAGTCTTTGTTCCTCCACAGCACGCTGGCAGACGACTGACCGCTGTATGGCGTGGGTGGGCATGGCGGCTATGGCAGGCTTCGTTGGCCCCAGGGCAACGACAGCAAAGGTAGGAGGAGGGAGGGACAACGTCCATTCAGGTACTCTGGCTTGCTGTGCTTTGACAGCACGCTGACAGACGACTGGCCGCTGTATGGCGTCGGCCGTTCGTCTCGTCTCACTCCCTTCAGGATTTCGACAGCCTCTCACCGTCCGAATGGCGCAGCAGCAACAACAACTACCGGCGAAAGGGGTGGCAAAACCTTCTCCCCTCCCCCATTCATTCCCCCTTTCCCTCCAGCTGCCCGAGCCCGTTCGCCGCTTCCTCCAGGACTTTGACAGCCTCTCACCGTCCGAGTGGCGCAACAACAGCAGCAACTACCGGCGCAAAGGGCAGCCTAAGCAGCAGCAGAAGCAACAGAGGCAGTTCAAGTGCCCTGTCCACCCCTCCATGTTCCCCTCTCCGCTCTCCTCCCACATACCTCCAGCTACCAGAGCCCGTTCGACACTTCCTCCAGGACTTTGACAGCCTCCTGCCTTCCGAGTGGCGCAGCAGCAACAGCAGCAACTACCCCCCCTCTCTCCCATCCCCCTTCCCCTCCCCCTCCTCTCCCTCCAGCTACCAGAGCCCGTTCGACGCTTCCTCCTCGACTTTGACAGCCTCCTGCCTTCCGAGTGGCGCAGCAGCAACAGCAGCAACTACCCCCCCTCTCTCCCATCCCCCTTCCCCTCCCCCTCCTCTCCCTCCAGCTACCAGAGCCCGTTCGACGCTTCCTCCACGACTTTGACAACCTCCTGCCTTCCGAGTGGCGCAGCAGCAACAGCAGCATCTACCCCCCCTCTCTCCCATCCCCCTTCCCCTCCCCCTCCTCTCCCTCCAGCTACCAGAGCCCGTTCGTCGCTTCCTCCACGACTTTGACAGCCTCCTGCCCTCCGAGTGGCGCAACAACAGCAGCAACTACCAGCGCAAAGGCAAGCAGTGGCAGATGCAGCAGCACAGGTTGAGGCAGTTCAAGTGCCCGGTGTGTGCGGGCGGCATGGCGAGCCAGAGTGGTGGGACTGCTGCAGACGCGCCCAGCTAAAACCATTCCTACATCCTTTCTCCCCCTTCCCCTTCTCACCTCCCATCCCCCTCCAGCTACCCGAGCCCGTTCGCCGCTTCCTCCAGGACTTCGACAGCCTCTCACCGTCCGAATGGCGCAGCAGCAACCGCAACGGCGAAAATGCTGGCGAAACTCTCTTCCCTCTCGCCTCCCCCATTCCCCCTCTTCCTCCCAGCTACTCGAGCCCGTTCGCCGCTTCCTCCAAGACTTCGACAGCCTCTCACCCTCCGAGTGGCGAAACAACAACAACAGCAGCAACTACCGGCGAAAGGGCTGGCAACACCAGCAGCAGAGGCAGAGGCAGTTTAAGTGCCCGGTGTGTGCGGGCGGGAAGGGCGAGACGGAGTGGTGGGACGGCGTGAGGGCGCTGCTGCAGCACTCGCTGAGCATCAATCTATTCCACCCGTCCATGCTCCCCCTTCCCTTCCCCTTCCTTCCTTCTCCCATCCCCCTCCAGCTACCCGAGCCTGTTCGCCGCTTCCTTCAGGATTTCGACAGCCTCTCCCCATCCGAATGGCGCGGCAACAGCAGCAACTACCGGCGCAAAGGCTGGCAGCACCAGCACCAGCAGCAGCAGAGGCAGAGGCAGTTCAAGTGCCCGGTGTGTGCGGGCGGGAAGGGCGAGACGGAGTGGTGGGACGGCGTGCGGGCGCTGCTGCAGCACTCGCTGAGCATCAGGAGTAGGAGGATGAAGGAGCACCGCACCTTTGCTGCCGCTCTCGGGGAGAGGATGAAGGACAAGGGCGCGGGGTTGGTGATGCTTGGTGGGGGAGGTGGTGGGGAAGGGGGGAATGGAAGGGGAGGTGGTGGGAGAGAGGGGGGAAGGGGAGGAGGGGGAAGGGGAGAGGGGAGTGGAGGGGAGGGGTGGAGTGGGGAGGGAGGAGGGATGCGCAGGTGCGCTGCAGCAACAGTGGTTGCACCAGCAGCATCACCACCACCACCGCTGACAGCGTTATCAGCAGGAGCAGCAGCAACATCGGTGCTTCTGGGGAGCCCCCCGGTGAACCAGTGGCGGGGGTTGGGGGGCGCAAGGGACAAGGGGGGGAAGAGGGGCAACGAGAGGGTCTTGTGGCCGCCCGTGGTGGTGGTTCGAAACACACACCTGTGCCCCGACGAGGATGGCATGGTGAGATTCACACAGGTTGAATGCGGTGGACGACGGTGGAATGCGGTGGGATGCGGTGTGTTTGGAGCATGAGACAGACAGAGCGTGGTGTGGCCGCCCGTGGTGGTGGTGCCAAACACACATCTGTGCCCGGACAAGGATGGCATGGTGAGATGCGGACAGAATGGGAATGCGGTGGATTGTGGTGGGATGCGGTGGGATGGGGTGAGTCAGAGCGTGGTGTGGGCGCCAGTAGTGGTGGTGCGAAACAAACACACCTGTGCCCATATGAAGATGGAATGGTGAGAAGCACTCGGAGTGGGATGTGGTGGAATGTGGTTGGGATGTGGTTGGGATGTGGTTGGGATGTGGTTGGGATGTGGTTGGGATGTGGTTGGGATGTGGTGGTATCGTATGCGGTCAGTGGTGTGGGATGCAGCATGTATGGAGTGTGAGACAAACAAGGGGAATGTGAAAGAAACTATGAAGTAGAATCATTAAGATTAGCTCAAGAGAGCACAAGGTTATACAAGCAAGAGAAGGTTGGAGAGGAACACCAAACCTAGCACATAAGACACCAAGACCAAGTAGCCTAGTGGGAGGAAGGACCATCCAACCAACCCTAGTGGGGTGGTGGCCAACCCACCAAAGTTGGTTGCCCCAGCACATGGGACAGTGATGGTTTGACAACCCCACTTGGCCAACAAGGTTGGAACCAAGTCTAAGCTATGATATTTGGGTTCACCCCAATTAGGGTGTTTACCCACACTACACCCAAAACTAGAGCATGCATGTATATGTATATTCTAACAGAATGTACCTGCAAGGGGCAAACAAAGAATGGTCTCTGACGTATCTCAATCACTGAGTGGAGTATGTGCTTTTGTTTTTTCTCTAAACTCTTGAATATCCCCTCCTCGTTTCTCACATACTCCTCTCCCTCTCCTCGTGTCTCATACTCCTCGTGTCTCTTCGCGTCTCAGGCTCCACGCTTCCACCCTCTCCTCCCCCTCTTTTTTCCCCTTGCCCTCACCACATGGGGTGGTCATGCCATGGATAGCTTTGAGCCCCCCCCAACACGTCCCTGAGTTCACCTGCTCCTTTTGAGAATTCTCAAAAGTCGCACCTTTTGAGAATTCTCAAAAAAAACCAACACGTCCCTGAGTTCACCTGCTCCTCGCCTCTCCCCTTTTTCTCCCTGTTTTCTCCTCTCTCTCTCTCCACCTCCTCTCCTGCTTCTCTCCCCTTCCGCTCCCCTCCCTTCCTCCCATACTCTCCTCTCCCCTCTCCTCGCCTCTCCCCTTTCACTCTCCCTCCCCCTCCCCCTCCCCCTCCTCGTCCCCCAGTGGGTGGGCATGGGCAGCCTGGACATCATTCCTATAACCTCCTCTCCCCTCCTCATGTCTCATACTCTTCTCCTCTCTCCTCGCCTCGCCTCGCCTCCCCCCTCTTCAGTGGATGGGCATGGGCAGCTTGGAGCTCCGTCAGCAGTTCCCAGACTGCAACCTTATCACCAAGGCCAAGAACGCTTATGGGCCACAGGTAGGGGAGAAGGGAAAAGCGGGATCAGGAAGGTCGGGGGGGCGCTGTGCCATGCCATGCCGTGCCGCGCCGCGCCGTGCCGTGCACAGTTGTGTGTTTGGCCCGCAGCTGGTAGGGAAGGCAGCCATGCAGGTATGGGAGTAGAATGCATATCCTCCTCCTCCTCCTCCTCCTCCTCCTCCTCCTCCTCTCTCCCTCTCTCCCGCTTTCTCCCTCTCCCAGTCTACCCCTCTCCGCTGCTCCTCCTCTCTCCCACCCCTCTCTTCTTAAGACCACAAAGGGGTGAGTGTGCTGCTGTTTGAAGTGTTGCAACACTCAACACGGATGGGATGTTGCAACACTCAACACGGATGGGATGTTTCAACACTCAACACGGATGGGATGTTGCAACACTCAACACGGATGGGATGTTGCAACACTCAATGGGATGTGTTGCAGGCGGAGCAGCTGTGCACGTGTGCGTGCTACTCACCGTCAACCTCTTGCCCTTTCCCACCCCTTGAGCCCGCCCTTGCTCCCTACAGGGCCATCACGGGGTGAGTGCGTTGGTCTTTGAGGCGTCAGTAGATGGGCTGTTGCAGGCGGACCAAAGCTTTCCAGTCATTCTCCCCCTTCCCGTTTGCACGCCCCCTACCAGGTCCATTGCGGAGTGAGTGTGTTGGTCTTCAAGCTGTCAGTGCATAGGCTGCTGCACGCGGAGCAGCTGTGCGAGCTCGTGCCTCTCACACCATACTAACCCCTTCACCCCCGTCGCCGGTGATATGTCACCCCACCGCCTAGGGCCACCGGGGAGTGACCCTGCTTGTCTTGGAAGCGTCAGTGGACGGGCTGCTGCACGCGGAGCAGCTGTGCGAGCTCTTGCCTTTCACCCTTTCCAAGTTTCAACTCCTTGAACCCCCTTCCCCTTCCTCCCTGTAGGGCCACCGAGGAGTGAGTGTGCTGGTGTTTGAAGCATCAGTGGACGGGTTGCTGCAGGCGGAGCAGCTGTGTGAGCTCACTTGCCTCCCCGCGCTCCTTTTCCTTCTCCCTGTGCCCCTATCCCCAGGGCCACCGCGGGGTGAGTGTGTTGGTCTTTGAGGCGTCAGTAGTCGGGCTGATGCAGGCGGAGCAGCGCTGCACGAGTGCTACCTACCTGTTTCCACTCACTCTTCCGCACTCCACTTCCCCCTGGCCCTCCCCCAGGGCCACCGGGGAGTAAGCGTGTTGGTGTTTGAAGCATCAGTGGACGGGTTGTTGCAAGCGGAGCAGCTGTGCGAGCTCTTTCAGGCGGACGGCAGGGGGCGGCAGGGCTGGATTCGTCGGACGGCGGCCTCGCTAGTGGACAAAAGCGGCAAGCGGAACCTGTTTGCATACATGGCCCAGGAGGGTGACGTGGCAGAGTTTAATAGGCACACCAAAGGTGGGGCGGGGGTGGGGGCGGAGTGGAGGGGGTAGGGAAGGGGGGATGGGAAGGGAGGGAGGGGAAGGGGAGTGCCTTACCTTTGGTGAAAAGAAAAGGGAGGGGAAGGGAAGGGTTTGAGGAGATGCAAAGGTGTTGCACTATTTGGATAACTCAAGGGACCGAGGGAGGGGGAGTTTGAAGGCTCTGCTAAGGTGGGCAGGCAGAGGGGAGGGATGATGGGGGGAAGGGGAGATGAGGCATGAGGGGAATGTTTAACCCCATGTAAGGAATCCAAATCCGTGCCCTCCATCCATGGCTCATGGCACATGACAAAAGGCGCATGGCACATGACAAATGGCACATGGCATATGGTGTATGACACATGACCATCGGCCATCGCTCATGGGTCATGGGTCATGGGTCATGGGTCATGGGTCATGGGTCATGGGTCATGGGTCATGGGTCATCATGGGTCATGGGTCATGAGTCATGGGTCATGGGTCATGGGTCATGGGTCATGGGTCATGAGTCATGGGTCATGGGTCATGGGTCATGGGTCATGGGTCATGGGTCATGGGTCATGGATCATGGGTCATGGGTCATGGATCATCATGACACATGGCATGCAGGGGACATCCCCCTGTCATGCCACAACCCCCCGCCATTTGCATGCCCCTCCATGCCACACCACCCTTCATTCCACACCACCCTCCATGCCACACCACCCTCCATGCCACACCACCCTTCATGCCACACCACCCTCCATGCCACACCACCCTCCATGCCACAAAACAAACCCCCTCTATGCGCATGGCAGGGAAGACGCAGCTGAGAGTGGAGGTGAAGAAGCGGTATGCGGTGGTTGATGAGCGGTTGAGAGCGGTGCGAGAACGGGCTTCTCAGGCACCCAATCTGGAGGCCACTGTTGCCATGGTGAGATGAATCATGAAACTGCTGCCATGGTGAGATGAAACTGTTGCCATGGTAAGATGAAACTGCTGCCATGGTAAGATGAAACTGTTGCCATGGTAAGATGAAACTGCTGCCATGGTGAGATGAAACTGTTGCCATGGTGAGATGAAACTGTTGCCATGGTGAGATGAAACTGTTGCCATGGTAAGATGAAACTGTTGCCATGGTAAGATGAAACTGTTGCCATGGTAAGATGAAACTGTTGCCATGGTAAGATGAAACTGTTTCCATGGTGAGGTGAAGCTGTTGCCACAGTGAGATGAAATGGCTACCATGGTGAGATGAAACTGTTGCCATGAGATGAAATGAAAGTGGTACCGTGGTGAGATAAAACTGTGACCACACAATGAGATGAAATCATCGTGCTTCGTTCCATTTTAGTTTCCCCTTGTTCCTACCTCGCTCGTCCTCCTCTCGCCCATCTTTCTTCCAAGTGACCAATACCTCGACTCGATTCCCTTCCTGCGCAGATGTCTCATCGAATCGTGGCGGGACAAGTGGCAGCGTCTCAGCTCCAGGCGGAGCTAGAGCAGGCCAAGGAAGCCAACAGGAAGCTTCTGACGATGCTGGAGGGTGCCTGGCCTATTTACCCTCCGCAGCAGTGGGCATCTGCTGAAGCAGCCCCAGACCAGCAGCTGCCTTGTAAAGCCCAAGTAGCAGTGCAGGATGGGTGGGGGGACCAAGTAGCTGTGGCGGATGAAGAGTGTGCAGCTGCTGCAGCTGTAGCAGTGCTGGATGGGTGGGGAGACCAGGCAGCTGTAGCGGATGCAGATTGCATCAAGGGAGAGCAACACACAGAGGTTCAGCAGCAGCGTGTGAGGGAGCAGAAGCATGCGGAAGAGCAGCAGCCTGGGAAGGTGACAGAGGAGACTAAGAGCCGGCTACAGATAGAGGAGAGAGCAACTGCAAGGGATGAGGAGGCTTTTGAGGCGCGTCTGGTGGAGGTGGCATCTGGGTTGGGCGCGAGTGAGCAAGCTTCTGAGTCAATTGGGAAGGAGCGGGGCGCGAGGGCGTGTCTGGTGGAGGTGGCATCTGGGGTGGGCGCAAGTGAGCAGGAGGTGCTGTCGCTGTGGCAGGGAGCAGTGGAGGCGGAGCAGAAGCATTGGAATGAGGTACAGTGCGGTTGGATGTAGTGGGATGCAGTGAGACGTGGTGTGTGTGCATGAAAAAGCCGTACAGGTGATGTCTCACTGCTGTCTCCATTCTTTCCGTCCGTCCCACCTTTCCCTGCTCTCCCTGTCTCCTTTAACTGTTGGTAGGTGCGTCAATCTCTTACCCCGGCTTTTCGTAATGCTATTCTAGTTCGTTACGACTACTGTATTTCCCCATCCACAGGCGGAGGCGCAAGCCAAGGAGATTATTCCCCCCACCCCCCCCTCCTCTTCTCTTACCCCCTGTTTCCCGTCCCTTCGCTCTCCCGACCAGCTGGACGGCCTGGAGGCGGCATTTGACGTGCAGCAGCAGCAGGTGGAGGCGCGGCTGCAGGTGCTGGCAGGGAGGGAGGTGGAGTGGCGGAGGAGGTGGAGAGGGGCATGCGAGCAGCAGATTCTAGCCATGGCTGCTGCTGCTTCTGCTGCTGGTACTGCTGCCGCTGGTGGAAACGCTGGGGGGAATGGGGGAACAGAGGCAGAGAGAGACACTGCAGATATCTGGGGCGCGATCAAGCGTCTAGAGGGAAGCTGCGAGGAAGCAGTGGCGTACAGCCGGGAGGTGCAGAGGCTGCAGCAGGAGCGCCAGAGCGCCAAGGCAAAGGCCTTCAGACACCACAGGGAGGAGGTACTCGCTCTCGACCGAGCCTTCGAGGCTCGGTGGGCCCAGCTGCTGGCTCGGCAGGAGGCTCAGGTTGGGATGCCGGAGGGTGAGACTGGGCGTGGCGAGGGGTGGCTTGATGAGGGCGAAGGTGGGGGAGAAGGGGAGGAGACGGTGTGCGTTAGAGAGTTAAGGTAAGCTGGTGTTTATAGTGGAAGCCAGGTCACTAGTGTTGGTTATGGGAGGTGGAAGTGGGAGTTGAGTTAAGGGGCCTTGAATTCAATCATTCTCTAGTGTGTCACTGTGGGGAAGCTAGCTGATATGTAAATATACACTATGCCTAGGGTTGGCTTTGTTGATAAGCTTCCCCCAGTCTAGTCCACCCCATTACACTTCACTAACCGGGACTGCTGCGGTAACTTCTGTTTGTATGATTTGTATAGTCCAACCATAGGGAGGATCCAAGGTGGCCTTTGTTCATAAAAAAAATAGAGGGTGCAGTGTAGAGGGTGCTTGAAATGCTGCGGAAAGAGAAAGGCTTAGTCATCATTTTAATTCTGAAAGAATGACAGTGGTGTGGATACACAATTGTCAAAATCGGCTCAAGTTCTTACGAGACACTTACCGTGAACAACGCTCGACTGTCGATTCCGTGCTTTGATTTGCGTGAATTCACACATGAGAGCCGTCGATGCACCACGAGACACCTCGATTCGGCGGCACAACTATACCGAACCAAACCCCAGCCTGTCAATTCCCGCCAAACCCAGTTTGCACGCCTCCCTGCTCCCCGCCAAGATTACAAACTGGGCTTGGGTGTTCCCTAGGGTGACTTGCGCTTGGGAAAAAGATGCAACCACTTGTGGCTCGGACGAGCATCGCCTCAGGTAAAATGGGGTTTCGGCTACCGTGGTTACCAGATCATATGTCGAAACCTAACCGCTCCCAGGCACTTACCTAGTCACCCTTGCCCATCATGCCGTGTAAAGCTTATTTCCTCACTTCCACTCGCTAGACCCCTCTCTGACGCTCACGCATTTTCTTTGTCATTGTTTCACCTCCCCATTAGTCTCTAATAACTTCTTCTTAATTTGACGCAATGGCGGATAGGAGTCAACGAAATACGTTTCCGTTTCTGGGTTCCATAGGCCGATCGCCCTCCGTTGATCGCCCTAACTTGCATCAGCAACTGTACCAGCAGCAGCAGCCACAGCAGCAACCTCAGCAGCAATATCCACCTCAGCAGCAGTATCCTCAGCAGCTGCAGCTCCAGCATGGTTATCAGCAACAACAGCAACAACAGCAACAACTGCAACAACCGCAGCAGCAGCAGCCGCAACAGCAGCAGCAGCAGCAGGAACAAGTTATCTATCAGCAGCAGCACAACCAAAATCAGCAGCATCGACAGGGCTATCAACAGCAGCAACAGGGTTACCAGCAGCAAGAGAACCAGCCTCAACAACAAGCTTACCAACAGCAGCAGCAGCAAGTGTACCACCAACAATTTCAGCAGCAGGAAGGTGGTTACCACAACCAGCAACATCGCCTTCAGGAGGCTTCGGCTGTCGCATGGCCCTCCGTCGCGCAGGAATCTCCCGCCGACCCACCAGCCAATCACGTGACGGCGATAACTTCAGGGCCGCAAGCCGCTCCTCTAGACAGAGACGTTGGAGTTCAAGACATTCTCGCCTTCTGGCGTCAGCTACAAGCGAGTACGGGAAACCAGCTCCAAACGAGTCTGTTGAATCAGTTTCAAACGAGTACGACGCCGAACCAGCTGCAAACGACTCTCACCAGCCAATCGCAAGCAAATCGCGAGCAAGCAAGCGCCGTTGCTTCCGTTGCAGACGCGATATTGGCTGCTTCGCTAGGAAACAGAACAGCGCTATGGACAGATACCGCGACGGAACTCTTAGCGTCTGCAGCAGGGGCCGGAGTGGCCCCAGCGGGCGGAATGGCAGGTGGAGGAGGAGCGACCGGGGCTAGGTTGGTAGCGGCGCAAGAGGGAGCAGAAGCAGCGACTGCGGCAATGGGGCCCCAGGGGGGCCGAAACATTGCGCCCGGGGCTTTTGTGCCCGTAGGTTTCGCGGAACCTGCAGGTACGGGATTAGCAGGCATTGGAATGTCAGGCACGGGACTGGCAAGCTCGGAACTTGCAGGCTCGGAAAGGAGAGGCTTGGCAATGGCAGGCATGGGAATGGCGGGAATGGGACGAATGTCAACGGCAGCGACAAGTGAAAGAGGCCTGCATGGGGGGGAGCCGGAGGTCGCGGCGGCAGATCAAGACTTACTCACCGCGTTGAACCGCGGATTAAACCGCGGGATGAGCCACGAACCTCCTGTGGGTGCGCGTGCTGGTGTGGGCATGGGTGGCTCTGCCTCTGCCCTTGCTGGTGCAGGCATGGACTCTGCCTCTGCGCGTACAGGCCGCACTGCTGTGTTTCGACCAGCTGAGATGCTCGAGGGGCGCGGGGGGCACGGGGGGCACGGGGGGCGCGGGGGGCATGGGGGACATGCGGGAGGCGAGTGGCGCGAGGGGAGGGATGGGCGCGACGGGCGCGGGCGCAGCGTTGGCGCAAGAGATGCGTCGTACGGCGGCGGGGCGAGTCACCATGTGACCCCCCCGCAAGTCGTGGCACCGCCAGCTCTGATACCACAAGTCATGGCATCACAAGTCATGGCTCCACAGCTGGCACCGCAGGCACGTCAGGAGTCTGTGCCACGTCACCAGCCGTTTCAGGAACCCGCGCCACGTCAACAGCCGTTTCAGGAGCCTGTGCCACGTGAGCAGCCCCGTCAGCAGTCCGTGCCTCGTCAGCTGCCTCGGCGAGAGTGGTGGCTTGATGCGATAGGAGAAGGGGAGCTGATTCAGGTCCCACGGGACAGTGCAACGGCCGACACCAGGGCGAGCGTTCAAGTGGGTACTCTTGAAACGGGCGCTGCTGCTGGTATGGGGTACGAGAGCCTTCAAGGGCAGGCGGAAGGTGGCGAGAGAGTTCAAGTTGAAACGCTTGATGATTTCCAGATTCGCAATAACGAGTATGGGAACAGTGCTGGCGTTGGCTTGCAGGGGTTGCAAGGGAGGCAGCAGGGGGATGGGCAGATGCGAGGGGGGAGAGATGAGGTGACGCCAGGTGACGAGCGGTATGTGAATGACTGGCAGCAGCAACAGCAGCTGCTGCTGCTGCAACAGAAACAGCAACAGCTGCTACAGCAGCCACAGCAGCAGCAGCTGCCACAGCAGCCGCAGCAGCAGCAACAGCAACAGCAACCACAGCAGTTGCTGCAACAGCAGCGGTTAAATGATGAGCAACTGTTGTTGCTGCTGCAGCACCAACAGCAACAGCAACAGCAAGAGGTGCAGCAGCAAGAGCAACAGCAGCAGCAAGTACTGCAGATGCAACAGGAAGAGCAGGATTTAATGCTGCTGCAGCAGCGGCAGCAGCAGCAGCAGCAGCAAGAAATGCAGCGACAGCAACAGCAACAGCGGGAGCAAGAGATGGAACGGCAGCGACAGCAGAGGCAGCAGCAGGAGGAGCAAGAGATGGAGCGGCAGCGACAGCACCAGCAGCAGCAGCAACAGCGGGAGCAAGAGATGGAGCGACAACGACAGCAGAGGCAGCAGCAGGAGCAAGAGATGGAGCGACAGCGACAGCAGAGGCAGCAGCAGGAGCAGCAGGAGCAAGAGATGGAGCGGCAGCGACAGCAGAGGCAGCAGCAGCAGGAGCAAGAGATGCAGCGACTGCGACAGATGCAGCAACAGCAACAACAGCAACAGCAACAGCAGCAGCTTCTATGGCAGCAGTGGCAGGAGCAGTTGGCACAGCAGCAGGTGCAGAGTGGACAGCAGCAGCAGCCAGAACCCCCCCAAGTGCTGCTGCAGCAGCAGCAGCAGCAGCAGCAGCAGCAGCAGCAACAGGCAGAGCAGCAAGATGACTTGATTCTGCCAAGCACTGTAAGCCCACTTGCACAACTTCCCAGTGCAGTGGCGGTGACTGAAGCATCAGGTTCAGAGCTGATGGACGGTGCTGATGAGGCCATGGACGGTGCTGACGTGGACATGGACAGTGCTGATGTGGACATGGATGCCACTGACGTGGACGTAAACGAGCTTGTTCTGCCCGGTGAAGAGGCCAATGAAGCTGCTGGTGCCGCCTTCCACCCCGCTGCTGCCACCTCTGTTGCTTCCCCTGCATATGCCTCTGCTGCGGCTTCTGCCAGTGCTGTTGCTTCTGCCACTGCTGCCGCCGCTGCTGCTGCTGCTGCCAGTGCTGCTGCTGCTGCTGCTGCTGCTGCCGGCTCTGTGGGTGCGCGATGGCAGCGAGTGAACTGGGTTGGCAACAGGCACACGGCACTTCCACACCCGCCACTGCAGCAGCAGCAGGTGCGGCAGCAACAGCAGCAGCAGCAGCAGCAGCAGCAGCAGCAGCAGCAGCAGCAGCAGCAGCAGCAGCAGCAGCAGCAGCAGCAGCAGCAGCAGCAGCAGCAGCAGCAGCAGCAGCAGCAGCAGCAGCAGCAGCAGCAGCAGCAGCAGCAGCAGCAGCCGCAACAGCAACAGCAGCGGCAGCAGCAGCAGTTCCAACAGCCACCGCCGCAGCAGCAGCAACAGCAGCGGCAGCAGCAGCGGCAGGGGCAGCAGCAGCGGCGGCAACGGCGGGGGCAGCAGCAGCAGCAGCAGCAACAGGTTCAGCAGCAGCAGCAGGAGCAGCAAGCCTCAATAGTAGCCCCTGCCATTCAAGGTTCCGCAGCAACACCTTCCACGCTCCTTCCTGGGCGGGAACCTTCCGTGCAACTTCCGACAGAGGAACCTTCCGCTCACCTTCCAAGCCGTGAGCCCGCCAGGCCGTATTCCATGCCCGAAGCATCTCCCCATCCTCCCGCCCAGATGCCCACCCTCCCCCCTGCACCAATGACTGTTGAATCGACTCGTGAGTCTGCGTATCCTCCTGCTGCTGACGCCCATGCCCTCCTGCCGTTAGTGACTGGGGCTAGAGGGAGGGGAGCAGGGGAAAGCGGGAGGGGGAGAGGCAGGGGAGGCGGGAGGGGAAGCGGAAGGGGAAGGGGGAGGGGCAGGGGAAGGGAAATGGGCAGGGGAAGGGGAGCTGGGGAAGGCGAAGCAGGAAGGGGAAGGGGAGTGGAGGAGCAAGGGGGGCTGGGGCAAGGCGAGGAAATGGCGAGGGGACAGAATATGGGTGTAACGGTAGGCTTGAGTGAGGCTGGGACTAGGGATGGGATGATGATGATGATGATGATGATGATGATGGGGGATGGGGGTGCAGGGAGGGGGCAGAGTGTAGCAAGGGTGGCCGGTATGGCTGGGGATGGGGAGATAGCGAGGGGTGAAGCAAGGGGCCGTAGTGGTCAGCATATGGCAGTTGCAGGGACGGGCGCTGCTGCTGGTGTTGCTGGTGGTGGTGGTGTTGCTGGTGTTGGTGGTGCTGGTGGTGTTGGTGGTGCTGCTCCTGTTTCTTGTGCTCCCACCACCACTGCTGCTGCTGCTGGCGCCGCCGGTACTGCCGATGCGGCTGCTACTGCTGCTGCTAGTGCTGCTGCTGGTGTTGGCGGGAGTGGCAGCGTGGCAGGAGCAGGGAGAGGAAGGGGTGGAGGAGCTTTGTTGGTGGGGCAGGGCAGAGGCATGGGTAGGGACATGGGTGGGAGCATGGGTGGGGGTATGGGTGGGGGCATGGGTGGGGGTATGGGTAGGGACATGGCTAGGGACATGGGTGTGGGCATTAGTAGGGGCATGGATGGGGATATGGGTGCAGACTTGGGTAGGGGCATGGGTGGGGGCATGGGAGGCATGAGTAGGGGCATGGGTGGGGGCATGAGTAGGGGCATGGGTGGGGACATGGGTGGGGGCATGAGTAGGGGCATGGGTGGGGACATGGATGGGGACATGGGCAGAGGCGTGGTTAGTGGTATGGATAGGGGCAGGGGCAGAGGCATGAGTGGGGGCTTGGCAAGGGGCATGCCAGGGGACTGGGGTGGGACCGTGGGTGGGGGTAGGGGCGGGGAAATGGGTATGGGCGTGGGTAGGGGTATGGGCGGGCGCATGGGCAGGGGCAGAGGCAGAGGCAGAGGCAGAGGCAGAGGCAGGGGCTTTTCTGCAGGGTATCTTGCTGGGCTTGCTGCTGCCCGTGCTGCGCTTGCCCTTGAAACTGGTGCTGCTGCTGGTGCTGCTGCTTCCTCAGGGCCTGCTCCCGCTGCCGCTGCTGCTGATGTTCTGAGCAATCCATCCGCATCAACACCAGCAGGAGCAGTGGCAGCGGCAGCAGCAGGAGGAGGAGGGGCAGCGGCAGCAGGAGAAGGGCTGGACGGAGGGGTGGATTGGGAGATAGAGATGGGGGCCATGCCTATGGATGGGGGGGATGATGATGGTGATGATGGTGAGCCGTGGACAACAGAGGGACTGGGGGAGGCGGGAGGGGCGGCGGGAGAAGGAGGCGTTGCAGTGAGATCAGCAGCAGCAGCAGCAGCAGCAGCAGCAGCAGCAGGAGGAGCGGATGGGGTGGGAGGAATGGAACTGGCAGCAGCAGGCGCGCAAGGTGAAGCAGCAGCGGGAGGGGGGGCAGCAGCAGCAGGGGGGGGGGAAGGCGGGGTGGAGGACGAGGGGGAATGGCGGCCTATTCGGTTGCGGAAGGGGCGGCCGAAGAGGCAGAACAAGCTGGATGTGCCCACCAAGCGGGAGATGTGCGCCCTCAAACGGTTGCGCCCGGGCCTCACCCACGCCAACATCATTCAGCTGCTGCAGGTGAGATGGTGGGAGTGGTGTCTAGCAGGGAAGGGCGAGGCAGAGCAAGCTGGACGTGCCGACGAAAAGGGAGATGTGCGCCCTCAAGCGCTTGCGCCTGGGGTTGACCCACGCTAGCATCATTCAGCTGCTGCAGGTGAGAGCGGTGCTCTGCAGGTGAGAGCGGTGCTCTGCAGGTGAGAGCGGTGCTCTGCAGGTGAGAGCGGTGCTCTGCAGGTGAGAGCGGTGCTCTGCAAGTGAGAGCGGTGCTCTGCAGGTGAGAGCGGTGCTCTGCAGGTGAGAGCGGTTCTCTGCAAGTGAGAGCGGTGCTCTGCAGGTGAGAGCGGTGCTCTGCAGGTGAGAGCGGTGCTCTGCAGGTGAGAGCGGTGCTCTGCAGGTGAGAGCGGTGCTCTGCAGGTGAGAGCGGTGCTCTGCAGGTGAGAGCAGTGCTCTGCAGTTGGAGGCCCTGCAGGTTTCGCGCTGGAGGAGGCCCTGGCCGCGTGGTACAAGGAGGAGCGCTCTCCCTCTCCGCAACCCCTCTTCTGAACCCCTCTCCCCACTCCCTCTCTCCTCAACCCCCCTCCCCCCCAACCACCCTCCCCGAACCCCCTCTTTTGCAGATTCGCTTCCCTGGGCTGCGAATGGAGTCGTCACACGTGACCAAGATAATAAAGGACGAGAGCCGGTGGTTTGACGAGCGGAATGTGAGGTTTGTGCACAACATGCGCGTGCGCATGCCCGACTGTTACGCGCTCGAGGAGGCCCTGGCCGCGTGGTACAAGGAGGAGCGCGTGCACGGCCGCATTCCGCTCTCTAGAGTCTCTGGCAAGGCCCGGGAGCTTGGCCCCTTGCATGGCGCCCCGGCGGATTTCAAGTGAGTTCCTGCGCCTTGAACCTCAAACCTTGAACTCTAATCCTTAAACCTTTGAACCTTAAAGCTTGAAACTCCAAACCCCGAGTCCTCAACCCTGGACCGTAAGCCCGTAACCCTAGAGGAAGCCCTGGCAGCGTGGTACAAGGAGGAGCGCATGCACAGCCGCATTCCGCTGTCTAGAGTCTCTGGCAAGGCCCGGGAGTTTGGCCATCAGTATGGTGCCCTGGCGGATTTCAAGTGAGTGATTGCAAATATCAAATCCTAAACCCCAAACCCTGATCCTGAATCCTAACCTTGGAGGAAGCATTGGCGACATGGTACAGGGAGGAGCGCATGCGTGGCCGCGTTCCGCTTGTTAGAGCTTTGATAAGACTCGGGAGCTTGGCCCGCTGTTTGGCGCCCCTGCGGATGAAAAAAAGGTAAAAAGTAATTTTAACAGTAATAAAAATGGATATTAATATTTAATAAGCTTAGTTTTGCGAAACCAATATTTATCTTGACCAGCATTTCAAGTGAGTGACGGGCCCTAGTATTGGTGCTGTTGTCTGTGAGTGCTCTACTCGTGGTGTTGGGTGGCGCGACGCAGGCAGGGAGGATGTGGGGGAGTGTGCGACTGCGAGCTAAATTGTGCTGGAGTGGATGGGAAGGGTTTTGGGTTGAGATGGATGAATTGCCTGACTTCATTATTATTGTTATTATTGTTATTATTATTATTATTATTACTATTATAATTATAATAATTATTATTATGAATTATTGGGTCGTCTGGAATTAGTTGTTGGTGGGTTTGAGATTTGGAACATGGAGCGTCCACCTGCTGCTGTTTTTCAAGCGGGGTTGGGATCATGTGTACATGCATGTGACTCGCATGTGACTCACATGTGTCTCACATGTGACTCGCGTGTGACTCGCATGTGACTAGCATGTGTCTCGCATGTGACTAGCATGTGTCTCGCATGTGACTAGCACGTGACTCACATGTGTCTCACATGGACTCGCATGTGACTCGCATGTGACTAGCATGTGTCTCGCATGTGACTAGCATGTGTCTCGCATGTGACTCGCATGTGACTCGCATGTGACTCACATGTGTCTCACATGGACTAGCATGTGACTCGCATGTGTCTCGCATGTGACTCGCATGTGTCTCGCATGTGACTCGCACGTGACTCGCATGTGACTCGCATGTGACTCGCATGTGACTCGCATGTGACTCGCATGTGACCGCATGTGACTAGCATGTGACTTGCATGTGACTCGCATGTGACCGCATGTAACTAGCATGTGATATCATGTGTCTCGCATGTGTCTCTCATGTGACTCCCATGTGACTAGCATGTGTCTCGCATGTGACTAGCATGTGTCTCGCATGTGTCTCGCATGTGTCTCCCATGTGTCTCACATGTGACTCGCATGTGACTCGCATGTGACTAGCATGTGACTCGCATGGGACTCGCATGTGTCTCGCATGTGACTCGCATGTGTCTCGCATGTGACTCGCATGGGACTCGCATGTGACTCGCATGGGACTCGCATGTGACTCGCATGTAACTCGCATGTGACTCACATGTAACGCGCATGTAACTCGCATGGGACTTGATAGGAAGCGTACTTCTGGTGCATCTGGCCGCTCGCTTTGAGGCAGGGCTGGGATCCGCTGCGAGTATGTGTGATTGACTGGCAGACAAGGAGAATATTGAGGCGCCTCAGAAGGATAGTGAAGGATCACGAAGAAAGTGGAAGCACTCAATTGCGTTCTTCTGCTTTCCAATCAACTTTTGGGGCGCCTCAACGGTCGTACTGCTTTCCAATCATGTCACACGGGACGCAAGAGAGAAGAATGCGGCCTTTCTATCCTGAAGCACGGATATCAGGCGTTCCGGGTTGAGAAATCAAGGGTGCTGTGCTCTAACTAACCCCGTGGCAACACACTTGCGTCATCAAGTATATTGGGATCACTTTTGAGACTTCTCATGTTGTGCTCTAACCCGGTGCGGTGGCCCCAATGTTGCTTACTAAGAATCGATTCTCTTAAGCGCCCCTTGCTGTGCTCGCCTCGCCTCAATCGATTCTTAGTCTGCTAAACCATTGATACAGATGCTTTAACCGTGTTGCTTACCCTGTCACCGTCCTTCCTGTGCTCTCCCGACCCAATTGCAGGTACAGCACCGGATGGGTGATGCGGTTTCAAGAGCGGTGGGGGTATTCAAGAAAGCATCTGGAAGCGGCGAGGGAGGCACACTTTCAGGAGGAGGAGGAAGGCGAGGGGGAGGAGGGGGAGGGCGGGGGTGCTGCTGCTGCTGAGGGGGAGAATCCTGGCCCTTCACTTCTAGAGCTTGCAGATCGGATGTTTGGTCCGGAGATTAGGGAGGCTGGGCGGGGAGGTAGGGGGCGGAGGAGGAGGAGGAGGCAGAGGGAGTGGACTGCGGATGGACGGGAGGTGATTGATTTGGAGAGTGAGGGGGAAGATGAGGGTGGGGAAGGGAGTGGGGAGGACGGGGATGAGGAGGGGGAGGACGGGGATGAGGAGGGGGAGGAGAGAGAGGAGGAGAGGGAGGAGGAGAGGGATGGTGGTGAGGGTGGAGGGGAGGAAATGGGACAGGTGGTGGAAACACAGGAGGGAAGAGAAGTGCATGGGGAAAGTGGGGTGCGAGAGGAAGGAGCGGTGCATGAGGGGGGGATAGGCCCACACACTCCCGCTCCTCAAACCACCACCCTGGCAGACCGCTCCCCCCGCCCCACCCTTGCGGAATTGGCTCTAGCAGAGGCGATTGCAGATGGCACGATATCAGATGAAGGCGGGTCCCTCCGTGTGAGAGGTGACCTGGCATCCCTTGCTCTGGCTGAAGCCACAGGAGCCCTGCCTGCTGCTGCCATTGCTGCTGCTGGGGATATTCTGTCCGTCCCTGCTGGCCCTGCTGCTGCTGCTGCGTCTGGTGTTCCTGGGAAAAAGCTGCCAGCGCGGCAGCAGAGGCAGCGGCAGCGGCAGCAGCAGGTGGGGAGGGGTGGACGGGAGTCACGGCGGGGAATGAAGTACCAGACTCGGCGGCATTTCAACCTCACTGTGAAGTTCAAACGAGCAATGTGCTTGCTCCAACAGGCTGTGCCTGAGTTGCGGGTCAAGGGGCTATTGCGGTTGATTACCCAGGAATGTGAGGGTAAGTTGCTCGAGAGTGTACCGTAATGCAACATTCGCAAAATGCTGAGCCAGAGGGACTATTACCTCCGGTCTCAGGACCTGGAGAACCGTTTCCGGTTTAGAAAGCCGAAATACCCAGAATTTGAGAGGGTACTCGCGGAGTGGGTGAGAGAAATGAAGGGTAAGTACGGGGAAGATGTCCTAGTGTATGAGGATGTGAAGGGGTATGCGAAGCAGCTAGGGGCACGCATGGGCGTGCGGAAAACCTTTACTTACAGCCATGGTTGGGTGGCTAGGTTTTTGCGTCGGCAGGGGTTGAACCTGAAGAGTATCAGGAGGGATGTGGCGAAGAGGGGAGAGTCTGGGGCGGGTGGGGGCGGGGGTGGGGAAGGCGGGGAAGGGAGGGAAGGGGGGGAAGGGCAGGGGGAAGGGGAGGGGGAAGGGGATGAGTTAGGGACGGATGGAGAGAGGGGAGGTGTGACTACAGACGATGGTGCCAGTACTGATGGGGGCGGTGAGGGAGAGGGGGAAGACGGCAGAGGGGTGGGAGGGGGGAGGGGGGAGGAAAGGGGGGACGAGGAGGGAAGAGAGGAAGGAGGGGAGACAGCAGGAGGGGAGGCAGCAGGAGGGGAGGCAGCAGCAGGAGCGGAGGCAGCAGCAGGAGGGGGTGCAGCAGCAGGGGATGCAGCAACAACAGAAAAGGCAGCAGAGAAGGCAGCAGCAGCGAGGGAAGCAGACGAGCTAGCAGGGAGGATCATGGCTCTTATAGAGAAGATCAAGGCGGGCGAGGAGGTGAGAGCGCTGCAGGCTGAAAGGCTCGCCTCCCGCAGAGGAGGAGGCAGGATTCGAGGCAGGAGGCCGGGGTACCTTGGTCACACCACCACCACCGCCGCCACCGCCACCGCCGCCACTGCAACAAACAACAACGACGGTACTAACGGCGGTGGTAACACCACTAGTGTCAAGCAACGCACGCAGGTGCCGCTGCCGCTGAAGCTCGCCGCGTGTGCTGTCTACCGCGCCCGCCCCGACCTACCCCACGTGATCGTCCACCAGACCCTGCAGAAGCGGTACAATGTGAAGCTAGAGCGGTTGAAAGCGGCCAATATGCTGAGCATGGAGGGGGTGATGAGGGAGACGATGCAGCGGGGCATGGTGCGGGCGCGGAAGGGCAGGGAGGTGCAGCTGGAGGAGGCTCTTGCTATGGCCGTGAGGGAGGCTGCTGAGAGGGTGGGCGGGGAGAAGGGTGGGGAGGGAGCGGGAGAGGGTGGAGCGGCACGGGATGGAGATGGAGGGGGAGAAGGGGCGGTAGCAGGAGGAGGAGTGGGGGGAACAGGAGGAGGAGCGGGAGGAGAGGGAGCAGGGGCAGCAGGAGGGGGGGGAGGAGGAGCGGGGGGAGCAGAAGGCGAAGCCACAGCAGCAGTAGCAGCAACAACGCCCCCTGCCCCGCTAATGACGGTCCCCCAGATTCTGGCATACGCGAAGCGCCTGGGCCCGCTGGTGGGCGTGTCCCCCTCGTTCCGCTACAGCACCGGCTGGCTGCGGTGCTTCCTGGATCGCCACCAGCTTCAAGCATTCGTTGCTGGGAAAGCCGCGCGGAAAGGGGTTGCGGCGGGAGGAGGAGGAGTGGGAGGAGGAGGACCGGGGGCAGGAACGGGTGGAGGAACGGGGGGAGGAACGGGGGGGGGAACGGGGGAAGGAACGGGGGGAGGAGCGGTGGGAGAAGTGGGAGGTGGGAGGGGAGGCGAGGGGGAGTGCGAACCAGAGGGGTTGAGAGGGATTCTGGATGAGACGTTTCATGTGAGGCAGGAGGAGGTGGATGCACTCGTGAGAATGGCTGACCGGCTGTGGCGGAGGACAATGCGCATGAAACGGGGGCAGAAGGGCGGAGAGGAGGTCGAGGAGTCTGAGGAAGATGAGGGGGAAGGGCAGATGGGGAGGGGAAGGAGCGGGAGAGGGCGGGGTGGGGATGGGGATTGGGGGGAGGATGGAGGGGATGCGGGTGGTGATTGTGATGACTCTGGTAGTGATGGTGGTGGTGGTGGTGGTGGTGGTGGTGGTGGTGGTGTTTGGGGAATGGCAGAGCGAAGCACTTGCTTTCCCCTCCCTGACTCAGGGGCCTCGAGTGGGGACGAGCAGGCAGGGGGGCATGGGGCGAGAGTCTCTCGTTTCCAGCATCTTCATTCCCTCTCAAATCTGCCTGGGGCGCGGGTGGTGCCGCCGTCGCTTGCTTCTCTTGCGCCTGGTGGAGCAGGCACGAGGTGGGGATCAACAGCAGCAGCACTCGTGCCAGCCCTTGTGACCACAGCAGAGGGGATCCTGTCAGAATTAGCAGATGTGCGCGTGGGGTCTCTGTCAGAAGCGCACCCGTCTCTGCTCTCCTCCTGGTCCCGTCTCTCTGCTGCCTCTCCTGCTAGCACTGCCGGTGCTGCTGGTATGACTGGTTCTGCTGGTGCTGCTACTGGTGGGGGTGTAGGCGCTGCTGTTGGGGTTATAGACGGGTTAGGGGGCATGCTTGGCGGGATGACTGGGGGGAGTGAGGTGGAGCTGAGAATGGCCCGGCGGCGCCGAGACATGCTGTCCTCTGATGCTTTCTATAAACGCTGGCAAGAGCATGCTAGAGTGCGCCGAGAAGCGGGTGAGAAAGCGAGGGAGAGAGGAGGTGGTGAGGGAGGAAAGGGGGAGAGAGGTATGGGAGAGGGAGGGGGGACGGGAGAGGGAGGAGGAAGGGCGGTCGGAGTGGTGGGAGGGGCGGGAGGTGCAGGAGGAGGGGGCGGAGAGGGGAAGAGTGGGGAGGGGGCGTGGGAGGAGGACGAGGGGTGGGAATGGTGGAGGAGGTCTGGTGTGGTGGGGGTGCGGCAGATGGTAGGTGCGTGGGATAGGCTCTTGGCTGTGCGTGCTGTGTGTGTGGAAAGGGAGGGTGGTGCTGGTAGGGGTAGTAGTGGTAGGGGTAGTGGCGGTGGGGAAGGGGGAGGTGGTGGTGGGAGAGTGGGAATAGGGGGGGCTGGGGTAGGTGGGGGAAGAGGGAGAGGTGGTGGGAGAGGGGCAGGAGGGGGGAGAGGGAGGGAAGCGGTTGTGCGGTGGGGGGCTGGGTTGCAGGTGAAGCAGGAGTGGGATGAGGTGGAGTGCGGTGGCAGTATGGGGCATAGGATTGAGGCGAGTTCCAGTGGCAGCAGTGGTAGTGGTGGCAGCAGCAGCGGCGGCAGCAGTGGCAGCAGCAGTGGCAGCAGCGGTGGCAGCAGCGGGAGTGACAGTCAAGAGTCGAGCAGATCTGTGGAGGATAATGATAATAGCAACAGCGACGCGTCTTATAGCGAGGATGGCAGTATGGAGGATTGGGAGGAGAAGCCAGCAGTGGGGAGGCAGGGGGAAGGGCTGGGGCAAGGGCGGGTGAATACAAGGGGGGCTGGGGTACGGGTTGGAACACGGGGGTCTGTGGGGCGGATGGGTAGAGGGGGCACTGGAGGAAGGGGCACTGGAGGAAGGGGCAGGAAGAGGCGCAGGGGTGAGGAGCAGGGCGGGCCGATAGCGGCTGCAAAACGCGGGGGGAAAGGGGGCTTTGGGGTAAGAGGTGGTGGGCGAGGAGGGGGGACGGGACGGGGGAGAGGTGGGTTTTCAGGGGTGAGAGGAGTTGGAGGAGCCATGCTTGCAGGACGAGGTGGGTTGGCAGGAAGGGGCGGGGCAGCAGGACTAGGTGGGGTGGCAGGAAGAGGATGGGCGGCAGGACTAAGTGGGGCGGCAGGAAGGGGCTGGGCGGCAGGAAGAGGTGGGGCGGCAGGCAGAGGTGGGGGGTCAGGTTCACCGCCGGGTCCCACTGGGCAGCCGTCGTCCTTTGCAGCACTGCTGTCTCAGCTCCTCTCCTCCACTGGCCCCCCTCCTGGCACACTCACCCCTTCCGCTGCAGCCAACATCAGCAATCCCCTCAACCCTCACACTGCTCAGGGATTTAGGGTTGGAGGGTTTGGGGGGGCTGAAGGTGCTGCTGCTGTTGCTAATGCTGCTGTTGCAAATGCGTCTGCGGCTGCAGCTGCTGCTGCTAGAATGCCATCCGCTACAATCACCACCACTACTGTCACTCCTGAAGGGTTCACCACCACCACAATTGTCCCCAATAGGTAGTCCTTGTAATATCTCAAGGTGATTGTGTTTGACAAAACACATGAATAAGCTTGAACATGTCCTCTATATTCAAACTTATAAAATAGCATACACTCTAATTCTGAAGTGATTTTGGCATGTAAACCTTGCTTTGTCGCATCCCCGAAACCATCTAAGCCAAAAACTTCCCCCAAAACCCGAACTCCACTCAAAGCCCTCCTTTCTCATCAACCCTCGCGAAACAACCTAACCGCACTGGACCCATGCATGTTTGACAGCCAACAATTCTCCGTCACTCTTTATTTTATCCCTCCTGTTCATGTGGCCCGCGACCCATCAGAAGAACCATTGCCTTGCCTCCATCTACTCTTCCTGCCCGAACACCCTCCCAAGCTGCCCGCGAATGGCGCCGCCAGCGTAATGCGTGGTACTGACCGTCACGTAGTAACTCTCCGGCTCTTGCAAAATCACCCGCACCGCTTCCCGAAGCGACTGCTGGTCTCGTTCACTCGACGCGAAGTAGCTACCAGTATTAGCTTCATTACTAGTACTACCAGTACCAGTACCGTTACCGTAACGGTCACCCTTCCCCGCCTCGTGTTCCCCCGCGCCCCGCCCCGCTTCGGCGCGCAGCTCCTCCGCGCTTCCCCCCACCGCGCCCGCGCAGGTCACCGTCAGGGAAGCGCTGTCCGCGGCGTGGTGACCAGCGCGGCGGCCCGCGGTGCCGCACGGCAGGTCGAGGAGGCGATCATGGTGCGCGCCCGCCTCGCCCTTCCTCCCGCGGTGCGCGCTCATCTTCCGCGGCGGCGCGTCGCGCGACAGCCCGATGATGATCACCTTGTATTCCAACCGGAACAGCCCGTTGGAGTCCCTGCAGAGTTCACGAGGGTGGTTGGTTACGACAGACCAGAAAAAAAACCTAAATTTCGTCGCGACAGTCCCTTGAGAATCGCGTTGTATCCCCCCCAGACCGTTTCGCTGGAGTCTCTGTGGATTCATGATGATGGGGGGGGGGGCTCGGACGGCGGGTTTAGTAACGGGTTTAGGCGCGATTTTGAAGAGTTTCGAGTTGTCCAGAAAGGGCAAAAAAACGCCCAACGCGAACGGGTTTCTTTTTGCTAGGCGGCTCAAGTACTGACGGCCACGGATAACTTTTTGTCGTCTTTCGAGAATGGCGGAACCGCTGGTACTAGCTAGTAGCACGCAGCTCGACGTGACGGATCGCAGCGCAACGCACTGTACCGCACTGTACCGCAACGCACCTGTGGATGGTGGCGTTCAGGAAGCCGTAGGCCTTGGGATCCCCGCGCGCCGGCACCACCTGCCGCCCCGTCAGCTTCGCGTAAATCGCCTGCACCGAAGCGCTGTCGCCGCTGCTGCCACTGCCGCCCACCGCTGCCGCGCCGGCGAGGTACTGCCTGGGGACGGCGCTATCTGACAGCACCCCTGCGGGGAGAGATGATGCTGCTCCGGTCGCGACGGTCTGGGGAGGAACGAGCGTGCGGTTTGGCTTTGCTGTCGCATTAGCTGAGAGGAAATGGGCTGGTGTAGGTGGGTCGGGATGTTCGAGTCGCGCTAGTTTGGTCGCTTGGCCTGCAAACGACAGGTTGGATGCGTGGAGGAGGGAAGCACGTAGCGGCGTCATACATCTTTGGAGATTAGTGAATGTGAATGTGAGTGTGAGTGTGAGTGTGAGTGTGAGTGTGGGTGTGATTGTGAGTGAATAACGGGCTCCGTTATTCTGTGATTATGCAGGAGGATTCTTAGAATTCTAAAAAATGTCCCGCATGGTCCTCGACTGTCTGGTTGGCGCGAGCACCAACAGCCGTAAGCAATTGAATTTTTATTGTGAAAGTGAGATGGGAGTGAGGCGGCACCAGCAGCCTGAAACAGCTGGGTTTTGCGTCGAATGAGAGACGCGAAAAAGGCAGCTCACCTTGATCCTGGCCGTGCCCCGTCAGCGCGAGCACCAACAGCGCAGCGACCACTGCATTCATGCGCAGAGGGGAAGGGCCAAGGGAGGGTGGTGAGGAAAGGTAAGTGGGGGGAGAGGGTGAGGTTGGGGGTTGAATCTGGGCAAATCTGGTTTTTTTCAGTCGCGCTTCCCTGAACTCCTTTGTACATTCTCCTAACACCCAATTTGCGCCATCACACGGCTGCCCCCACTCAATTTGTGACTTTTGGACGTGTGACCCCGCGACGACGGCTCAGTAGAACGCCATCCCTGTCCGGCTCCTGAGCGGATGCATGAGATTTCGAAGGATTCGGCGGGTCCCAACCACTGTTTTCCTTCCCATATTATATAGAACATAGCTAACTGGTTAGTCGTTCGGATAACCGCACCGCTACTACGCACCGAGGAAGAGGGCGATCTGCTCGTGAAATTCAGCCATCGGCGAACCACGCCGCGTTTGGCGATGCGAAGCAGGCTACCAGCAGACTTTGTCCTAGATTTGCGATTACCGGATTGGGAAACGCTTCAGCACTTGGATGAGAACTTAGTCGTAGTATGCAATGAAACGAGGGCACGTTTCGCTCCTGATCATGCTCCTGGAACAAAACTCACAAAGAAACAATCTTTGAGCGGCTTCAAGAATTGAGCCGTCACGCTGAAACACAGATATGGCAAAAGCGCTGTCGAGCATCTATCTATTCGTGCGTTTGAGCTCTAGGAATCGTTACGAGGCATTTTAGACGCAGGGGCAAGCAAGAATGGAATGAGCTGCAGGGGGATGCTGGCAGCGGGAGCAAGTGCCGTCATCGTGGCCGTCCGTCACCCATTTCGATTCAAATAATCGTGAGGAAATGACGGATCGCCCTGTTTTCAAGTTTCCGATTCCTTTGGGAAGTGGCTTTGACACCGCCTCGCTTCTCCGCTCGCGTCCGATTCCTTGGGGCAGCTGATTTCGACATTTCCAATTTCCTGTGACCAGGGAAATTCTGAAGTTTACCTGGTTTTAGTTTAGTGGCCAGTGGAAAAAAAAAACCCCTCTCGGATGGCTGGCCATTTGGGAGGCATCAACCCTAAACACATGCCTCATGGTGTTTAGGGTTGATGCCTCCCAAATGGCATGCCCTCCATGAGGGGTATATATTTTTTGTCCCGAGCTTCTCGTAATTGACGCGACAATTCAATTTATGATATCCCGATAAATAAACACAATATTAGTCTCTGGACTCGAAAAGGGGCAATAGCGTAAATAACTGACTGAAGGTATCGGACTCGAGCGCGAAACAAGGCGGTGTCAAAACCACTGCCGAAAGGAATCGGAAACCCGAAACCAGGGCGTTCCGTCATTCCCTCAATAATCGTGCTGGATGGAAGGTGGAATTCTTGTGACGGATAATTGCGAGTCGCGAATCGTTGCATGCAATTTCACTCTTTCGTCTTGCAATTCGCATCCGTGACCCACGGCGAGAACTGAAAGGTGTGATACAGACACTTTTACTAATACAGGATATAAGCTATTTGATGCCTTATGTGCATTTTGTTGGGGAAGCCATGCCCTGAGTGACAAATGCAAAACTCATAGAAATCGGTAATACATTCTCGCTATCATTGCCATACATTACCTTCTTATCACAATAAAAAATTGCACCGTTGTGTGACTTATGAATTGCACCTCAAACTACACCGCAACTTTCTTAGCATTGTCCTTTTCATCAGAATCAGTGACGAGCTCAGCGGTCCTAGAAGTTGTCATGGCGCCAAACACTGCAGCGGAGACGAACCAGAGGAAGAGCGAGGCCCAGTTCTGAGCCATGCTCGCACTGCCGTAATTCGGCTGGCCTGAATGCACCATCATCATCTGCATGTCCGCGAACCCATTCTGCACATTAAAAGAAGCAGCAACAAGGCAGAAAAAGACAAGGCGTTTGAGGCCGTCAGTGAGGAGTGGGAAAAGGTAACCCTATCACTCCGCCCTTCCAGCCCTCCCTCCCCTCCTCCCTCACAGCATCTTCCACAAAAGGGAGAGGAAGGTAGGGCCACGTTCAGCATTCACCAAGCACAGCAGCAGCAAGCATGCTTCAGGTGACTGAAGTAACACTCACCGAATTTTTTGTCGACTAAAAAAAACTCTCGGTGACTGCTGCAACACTCACCACGCAGGTGCCGATGCCGGCATAGTAGGTGAACTTGCCGAGCAGGATGTGGTACGTGCCCATCTGGTACCGTGTGGCTTCCGACAGGCGGCTCTTGAAGAGCACAAACGCACACAGGCCCCAGAAGAACTGCAGTGTAATGCAGGGAGAGGAGAGGGCAGGAGCAGAGCACACAGCATGCAGTTTTGAGAGTTTTGAGACTGTCTCAACACTCGATTCGGACAGGCAGCTTTTGAAGAGCACGGACGCACACAGGGCCCAGAAGAACTGCAGTGCGGGGAGAGGGGAGGGGAGAGGGCAGCAGGCAGGCACGCAGAATGGAGTTTTGAGGTCTCGGAGCTTGCTTCGGACACGCGGCTTTTGAAGAGCACGAACGCGCAAAGGCCCTAGAGAACTGCAGCGCGGGGGAGGAAGAGCTGCAGCGCGGGGGAGGAAGAGGGCAGCAGGCATGCAAACAGAATGGCACACAGCAGGGTGCTTTTCAGAATTCTTCAAAACACACTGCAAATCATCGAACACGCAGCTCTTGAACAGCACGGGCGCACATAGCCCCCAAAAGAACTGCAGTGCGGGGAGAGGGAGACGGCAGCAGAGCACACAGCATGGGAGAAAAAACTTAATGGCCAGTGCTGTGTGTCTGAACTAGGAAAGTCCATCCATGCGTCTGAAAGGAAAAAGTGGAGAGAAATAACCGAATTATTAGTGCCCGTGTCCCTCGAGATGATCAGATGAGATAAAAGCAGATCGGACCAGAACACGCGAGATCAGCTCTGCTTGAAATCCTGATGCCAGAGCATATATAGCAGCATGGGATGGCGAAGCATCGCATCCTGGACTAAAACATCCACTCACCTGGACAGCAAAGAGTGCGAGCGTGAGCACGCCACAGTAGGTGTGCACAGAGTACATGTGCTTGTGCTCCGTCCCCTTGGCGACAATAATAGCCGCCATGGCAACTGCCGTCAGAATGAGTGCGATCGTCTGCCACGCCAGGTGCACCCACTTGGCATACCCCGTCGCCCTGCAGTGACGGGGAGGCGACAGAAACGGGACAGTCACAGCCACGGTCACACGGGCTGGCTTTAAGTGGATTCAAGAGTCACGCCAGGTGCACCCACTTGGCATACCCGGTCGCCCTGCGGTGACGGAGAGACGAGAGAAACGGGACAGTCAGTCACACGGGTTAACTTTCCAGTCGATTCAGAAGCCACGCCACCCACTTGCTGCACCCACTTGCTGCACCCACTTGCTGCACCCACTTGCTGCACCCACTTGCTGCACCCACTTGCTGCACCCGGCCGCCCTTCAGTGACCGCGATAGAAACGTTGCAATCACGCACGGCTTAGTCACAGGTGCGGACCATCTGAATGCGATCAGCATGCAAAACCACTCTCGTCTCGTGATGAAAACGCGAGGAAGGAAGGAAGGAGCAGCTTCCGAGCTTTTAGAATCAGCCCAACGAGTGGCGGCAGAAAGCGCGGGGGAAGGGACTGGGCCATGGGTACACGAAAGCAAAGCCCCGAAGCAGCAGCACGTTTTTTAGGAGCCTCAAAAATCGTCATGGGGACACGAAAGCAAAGCCCCGGAGCAGCAGCACGTGCAGGAGAGGAGCAGAAGGCGAGGATGGGCTGTACCTGAGGGAGGCGGAGCAGAAGGTGAGGAGGGATTCAGTCATGGCGATGCCAAACGCGATACCCATGAGCAGCACGTGCCAGTTCCACCCGTTGTCGCAGTTGAAGCACGCGGACAGCCCGCCGTACACGGCGAGCGGCGCGGCGGTCTGGTCCTTTGAGAGGTACGCGATGAACGTGATGAGCAGCGCGAGGAAGACGAGCTCCAGGAGACGCGCGGTCCACGAGAAGACGCGCACGGGCGCCGTGAGCGTGTGCGACCCCATGCTGGCGACCGTGGGCGACGGTGGGCGACGGGTGCTCGCGTGGAAGGCGGAGAGTGCGCGGATCTGACGGCGGGGATGACCGGCGAGGCTCGCAGGCGGGTGGACTCGTGAGTGCTGGGACTCTGATCGCGGGTACGACGAGGGTGAGAGACGCACGACTGGGCGTCACGACTGGGCGTCACGATTGGCAGTCGAGTGTCGCTTCAAGTTGCTCGCCCTCGAGACTGGGTGTCGAGCGTCGCTTCAGTCCCTCAATCAGGACGGTGACAACTCGCGACTGCCCGCCCGGCTGCCTTGTCTCGAGATTGGCGAGAATGAAGGTGGCTGACGGCCCTATTTCAACTCCCATGTCAACCATTCGGAATGAGGGAGGGGAGGGGAGTCTCGCTAGCTTGGGGAGGGGAGACTCTCCGGGTCCGCGTGTGTCTCCCCCCACCATGATCGATCCCCGCTCTCTCTCTCTCCCTCTCTCGTTCTCTCTCTCTCTCTCGCTCCGCTCTCGTTCCGCTCTCGTTCCGCTCCTGTCTCTCCTCTCCCTCTCGCTCCTCTTCCTTCTCGTTCGCTCGTCATCCCGGCATTCTTCACGCCACGTCATCACGACTCCCATCGTGCTGTTGCCGCAACCTCTGTCACATCGCGTCGATCGTAGCGGCGGTACGGGCGGAAAGAGGGACGCTGGGCGGAAAGAGGGCGGAAGGGCTGTGCTAATTGCTCATTGCTCAACCGCGCGCTCGATGGCGCTGCGGGGAGGCTCGGAATCGGATGGAACGAGCTACAGTACGACATTACGGGTTGAAACTCGTACGACGTGTGGCTGAAAGATATTTTCGAGTCAAAAACTGTCCCCTCTGGGAGATCTCATCTTGTCTCGTCGTCGCCCGCACGCCGCTGAAATTCCCTCCGCTCCGCTCCGCGCCTTCCCCCTTCCGATCTCCCCCCCCTTCGGTCCTCACCTTTCCCCCAACACTCATGCACATGCCATCGTGGTCGTTGAACCTTGAAGCTTTCCGCAAGGACGAACATTGGCTGTTCCCCTCGTACCGCGCGCCGCAAATTCCTCGTGTCAACACGTGCTCCTTCAGATTGACGTACATGAAAATCGTCGCGGCTCGGGAAAGGACTTTTTGGCACTGGGACATGGCGAGTGACCAATCATCGCGCCGGTGATGCTCGCGTGGCGAGCTGGCTGATTGTCTAAGCAGAAAAACCTCTACGAACAGACGCCGCTTGCGGCTTCCCTAGTGTGGTTCGTACATGGTACGAGCTCCACGAGGTCTCGCTTGTCAATTGTACATTCGTAGTGGCAAGAATATCCGCGTCACTTTGAATCCCGTTAACGAGGTTTAGAATTTCAGGCTTGAAGTGGCTTCTTAGCATCATTCAGAACAGCTTCCCACACTGATGTAGTTAGTGATTGTTTGTTGCGCTTGTAATAGCCTGAACTACAAAGATTATAACGTGTTTCAACTGAAGTCATTGAACTCAATGTTGGGTGTAAATCATAATCACAAAACTAATTGTTTATGGAGCTTATGGACCCAGTTCATAAAACTGAAGGATTACATCACGAACACATAGACCTGTATTTACGCTAGTCACACAGATTATCTTTGCCCCTATATGACTGCAATGCAACATATTGTGGTTTACCTTTGTCGTAACAAGGTTTTACTGATACGGTAACAAGAAAATTGGCAAACTCGCTAGTCGACCCATGGAGTATTAGTAACACTGGCCGCAAAACAGTACGAATCGGTGTTACGCTCAATGATCTTCTGCGTTGAAGTGCCCGCCCCATGGCCCGATTTCACATCTACTCTCAACACAACCGGATTGATCTGGTTTCCTTCACCGTTTGTGCTGCAAGGTCCGTGATGAGAGGCAAGGAGGGAACGCACAGAGACGGAAGGTGTAAGAGGTGCTATCAGGAACTTAACTAAGGTACAGTAATAGGTGACAACAAGAGACACCTACTCAAAGAAGGGGCTAGGTGGGAAAGCCAAGAAGCTGCAACGCATGTGCCACCTGTGCACCCAACACATGCTGCAGCTAAGCCGTGAATTTGAGGGAGTGAGAGGGACCCGCCCACCACATGTGCATCACAATTCGCATCCCACCTTTGCACCAACAGCTACCCACCGCACCACCCACCTGTGCACCAACAAATGCTGCCCCCACCGCACCACCCACCTGTGCACCAACACATGCTGCAGCTGAGCCGCGTGTTTGAGGGAGTTGGAGGGCGGCACCCGCCCACCTGTGTACCAGATCACGCTGCAAGCATCCCACCCACCCACCCCAAGTCTCTTCCCACCTGTGCACCAACACGTGCTGCAGCTGTGCGGCGAATTTGAGAGAGTGAGAGGGCGGCACGCGGTCGTCATGGTCGCCCGTCAGCAGCATCACCGCCGGGTACTGCCTCCTGCGCTCCCCCCACTGCCTGTTTGCTGCTGCCACATCAGCCGTTGCTGCCACGTCAACCGTTGTTGCCATGTCAGCGGAATCAGAATGTGCTTCTGTGCTGTTGCTGCTTTTGGTGGGGTTGCCAGCTTCCCAGGGCCGCCTCACGTTGTGCAGAGGGGAGTAGCTGCAAGGTAAGGGGGGAAGGGGGGGTGGGTGTGGAGAGGGAGAGGAGGGATTGGGAAGCAGAGATGCTTCAATCAAAGCTTGCCTAACACTGTGCAGCGTGCCTTGTTAAGTAGGTAAGGGACTGACAGTTGATTTGTAGGGGGAGAATTTGGTGAAAAGGGGTACTATTGCTATGCCACGCGACGCTAACGGTATGGTACGCTATGGAATGCTATGCTAGTGATGTGAAAGGCGCCTGAGAAGCCATTTGCGCTTGTGCGGGTCGCTGGAGCAGCCATACTCGGATGTCCATGCATGGCCGATGGTGAACTCAAGGGATGCGAAAGGAAGGGATGCTGAAGGAAGGCATACCTGAGGAGCCATTTGAGCTGGAGCAGGTCACTGGAGCAGGTCACTGGAGCAGGTCACTGGAGCAGGTCACTGGAGCAACTGTGCTTGGAGGTCCATGCATGGGTGCTTACTTATCAACTCGTGAAGGGGAACTTGGCGAAAAGAGGCAACACAGCTCTGCAATGCGAAAAGCACAGCTGAGGAGCCATTTGAGCCGGTGCATGTCATTGAGCAATGACCATCGGAGTGCATGTCATTGAGCAGCCGTACTCGGAGGTCCATCGTGGAGGGAACTTGGTGAGAAGAGGCATGATTGGTATGCGATGCAATGGTATGCGATGCGAAAATATGTACCTGAGGAGCCATTTGAGCTGGTGCGGGTCGCTGGAGCAGCCATACTCAGAGGTCCATGCATGGCCGATGGTGAAGTGGTGGAGTCGCAGCATGTCTGTCAGCCCCACATGCGCCAATGCACATGCAAACAGGTCTGGACGCTGGAAACGGGGGGAATGGAGGAGGCAAGGGAACACACACGGGTGTTCTGGAGCAGCCATACTCGGAGGTCGTTTCTTAAAAACGACTATGCACGGATGCTCACACGTGGCCGATGGTGAACTCGTGCACCAAGGCACATGCGAACAGGTCAGGGCGCTGGGAACAGGGAGAATGGAGGCGGGTCGGGAACACACAAGGGTGTTGCTGCAGCAACTATTGAGACGTCTCAAAAGAGGATGGAGGCGGGTCTTGAGACGTCTCAAAATTTGAGACGTCTCAAAACTAGGTTGCTGCAGCAACTATTGACACGTCTCAAAAGAGGATGGAGGCGGGTCGGGAACACACAAGGGTGTTGCTGCAGAAACTATAATTGGAGGCCGTTTCTTAAAAACGACCTTATTCGGAGGTCCAGGCATGGCGGAAGGTGAAGTGGTTGAATCGCGGCATGTGTGTCAGCCCCGCGTGCGCTAAGGCGCATGCGACCAGGTCTGGGCGCTTGGAACAGGGAGAATGGGGGAGGCTTGAGACGACATGAACGGTGTTGCTGGAGCAACCATACACGGATGTTCAAACGTGGCCGATGGTGAATTGGTGAAATCGCAGCATGTCTGTCAGCCCCACGTGCGGTAAGGCACATGCGACCAGGTCTGGGCACTGATGGTTGGAATGTAAAAGAAGAGCGAACGGAGATCGGAGAATGAAGAAGGAAGTAGGGCAAAGGGAGACAGGAAAAGGAGACATAACAACCCACCCACACATACCAACCCGCCCACACATAACAACATGCACACACGCTCATCAGCACACCCACCAGGTTGATAGCTGCACCCACGAGCAGCCCCCCACTTCAATCAGCTTCAATGACAGCTAGCAATCTGTCACCATGGCTGCCCTGTATCATCACCTGGAAGGCACATGGAACGTTCAACTCAACACAGATGCACATACTCTCAAAACCATACATGCTCGTTACAAGCACACCCACCTGGTTGACGGCAGCACTCACGAGCAGCCCCCCGTTGCTGCCACCCTCTATCACCAGCTTTGATTGCGATGTGTACCCTTCGCCGATCAGATACTCCCCGCAGCTCTGATGAAGGGGGCAAAAGGAATGGGGCGATTTTGAGGCACCTCACATCCTCTGGCTTTTGATCAAGCAGCGTGAGTTGAAGTTCCACTCACCGCACTCACCAAGAAGTCCCATTCCAATCGATGTCCCACTCACATAGAAGTCATCGAAGCACTGCTGCTTGTTGCCCAGGGCGCCACCCTTGTGCCACTTCTCTCCATACTCGCCCCCTCCCCGAATATTCGCCACTGCCACCACTGCACCGTAGTGCCTCATCAGCAGCACACGGGCCACACTAAAGTCCCACTGACCAAAGAGCTCCCACTCAAAATGAAAGTCCCATTCACTCCACACCAAGGTCCCCCACACAATGAAAGCCCCACTCACATAGAAGTCATCAAAGCACTGCTGCTTGTTGCCCAACGCGCCTCCCTTGTGCCACCCCTCTCCATACTCCCCCCCTCCGCGGATATTCGCCACTGCCACCACGGCCCCGTAGTGCCTCATCAGCAGCACTCGGGACACACACTGAAATCCCACTGACTAAAGGAGTCCCACTCACATTAAAGTCCCACTCACATCAAAGTGCCACTCACACCACACCAAGGTCTCAACACATTGAAGGCCCCACTCACATAGAAGTCATCGAAGCACTGCTGATTGTTCCCCAAGGCGCCTCCCTTGTGCCACTTCTCTCCATACTCGCCCCCTCCCCGAATATTCGCCACTGCCACCACGGCGCCGTAGTGCCTCATCAGCAGCACTCGAGCCACACTGAAGTCCAACTCTCAGAGATGTCCCACTGACTAAAGAACTCCCACTCACATAGAAGTCATCGAAGCACTGCTGCTTGTTGCCCAACGCTCCTCCCTTGTGCCACCTCTCCCCGTACTCCCCTCCTCCGCGGATATTCGCCACTGCCACCACGGCCCCGTAGTGCCTCATCAGCAGCACCCGGGCCACACTAAACGATGGCTTGATGCAGATATTGAACCCGCCATATCCGTAGAGGAGACTGAAGTGGTCCGATGTGCGGGGGAGGCCTTTACGGCACACCACAAACATGGGAATCCTGTGGGAAACAGGGAGCGGTGGATTCGTGGGAGACACAATGAACGATGGCTTGATGCAGATAGTAAAGCCACCATACCCGGAGACACGAGTGAAGTGGTCCGATGTGCGGGGTAGACCGTTACGGCACACCACAAACACGGAAATTCTGTGGGAGAAGAGGGGGCGACAGCAGAAGCATGGGAGACACACTGAATGACGGCTTGATGCAGATGGTGAAGCCACCGTACCCGTAGAGACGAGTGATGTGGACATGTGCGGGAGAGACCCTTGTGACATACCACAAACATGGGAATACTGGGGCAAAGAGAGAACTGGTTGGCTAGGTCATTGAGGCAAAAACATAAAAATGGGGATCGTGGGGAATAGGAAGGGGCAGATCACATCACATGCACCACGAGCCACCTGCCAATACAAGCAGGGCAGGTAGGTAGGCCCTGTGCGTGTGGCTAAAGGTGGCTTGTGCAGGGGAGGCAGGCCTTCGTGAGAAAGCTCCAAGGCACAAATGTGGGTACCTCTCAGGAAGGGAAGGGCCGGACATATGTGTGACGGGATGCATGCACGGAGCCAAAGCACTCCAAACAAAACACGTGAGGCCTTTGCGACGCACCGCAATATATATATATATTTTTATTTTTATTTTTGTGGTGGATGCGAGTACACTATAAAATTCATACAGAGCATCCGCAGTCGTAACTGGATGCTAGGAAGGCGTACAGACTACCATGTAGCCCGACCCTTCCTTGAAGTCCTCCTCTATGGTGGTTGAAAGGAAACTGTGGGGTCCTCCCATACTGCCTTGTAGTCTGCTCTCCACGTCAGCGAATCTTCCGCGATGTAAATCCTATTGATCACTTTTGCCTCGTCACTTGCCAGGTGTCCCCATCCTCGTGGTCTGTTGTGGTCCTTTTTTCCACCCCCTTTTCTCTTCCGTGCCCTGTTGTAGATCTTAACATGCCGCGTGAAATTGACGCACCGCAATAATAGGGCATCAGCGGGAGGAGGGGTGGTGTGTGGGGGGAAGAGAGGTGGGGAACGGAGCATATCACAAGCACAATGCACCTCAAAGCGTGCTCATGAACATCTGAATGCAGCGGCATTTCGAGCCCCTGGCACAGGCATGCAGCCATGCCACCTACCTGGCACAGGCATGCAGCCATGCCACCTACCTGGCACAGGCATGCAGCCATGCCACCTACCTGGCACAGGCATGCAGCCATGCCACCTACCTGGCACAGGCATGCAGCCATGCCACCTACCTGGCACAGGCATGCAGCCATGCCACCTACCTGACACTTGAATACGGAGACCGAGCATACCTGGTGCCATCGGTGCTGGGCACAAACACTTGCTGCGTCTCAAACAGTGAGGGGTCGAAGCCTGGGACAGTTAACTGGCGATACACCTGGTGAGGTGACAACAACAGAGGCACATCATGAAGCAAGCATGAATCACGCATTTGACGAGGCATGCATGAACTCAGTTACCAACAAACATGCCAATGCCAAGCACAGACTCAGATGTGAGGCAAGTGGGCACAGCACAGCACAGCTAACAACAAGAGTCAATGCACATGTCACACACACAGCAAGCAGAGCACGCACAACCGTTTGCGTGAGCTCCTGATGAAGCATTGCAGAGAGAGTGGGCTCTCCCAACCGCAGTGCCATGTTCAGAAGTTTCCTTCCGGGTGGTTTTTGAAAATTCTAAAAGACCACCTGCAACAACAAGGACTCTGTCAACCTCGGCTTGCTGCGATCGAACCCGTTCCTACAAACACGGTTCAGGTGTTTCCTTCTGGTTGAACAATGATGGGAACCCGGCGTTTCTCTCCATGCGCAACACCTCAGGACAAAACACACCTTTGGTTTTGGTTGAGCGACGGGGAGGTGAAGTCGCAGCGATACACGACGCTGGTAGGCTTGCATTGCAGCATTACCTCTTCCCATGCATCATGCTGAAATGCAAGCACACACCTTTGGTTCAGGGTGAGGGTTGGTGAGGTCGCAGCGGTACACAGTGCAGGGGGGAGAGGAAGCTCTCAAAGGAAAAGAAAGCCTCAACATCATTTGAGCACAACACAACAGACATCAAGAAAAGCACACAACCTTTCAGTGGACTCGAAGTGGGGGGTGGCTTGTGATCTGAGGCGACTCAAAAGTCACCTTGTTACAATGGTGAGGTCACAGCGGTTCACGGTGTGCGGGGAGAGGAAGCTCTCAAAGGAAAAGAAAGCCTCAACATCATTTGAGCACAACACAACAGACATCAAGAAAAGCACACAACCTTTCAGTGGACTCGAAGCGGGGGGTGGCTTGTGATCTGAGGCGACTCAAAAGTCACCTTGTTACAATGGTGAGGTCACAGCGGTTCACGGTGTGCGGGGAGAGGAAGCTCTCAAAGGAAAAGAAAGCCTCAACATCATTTGAGCACAACACAACAGACATCAAGAAAAGCACACAACCTTTCAGTGGACTCGAAGCGGGGGGTGGCTTGTGATCTGAGGCGACTCAAAAGTCACCTTGTTACAATGGTGAGGTCACAGCGGTTCACGGTGTGCGGGGAGAGGAAGCTCTCAAAGGAAAAGAAAGCCTCAACATCATTTGAGCACAACACAACAGACATCAAGAAAAGCACACAACCTTTCAGTGGACTCGAAGCGGGGGGTGGCTTGTGATCTGAGGCGACTCAAAAGTCACCTTGTTACAATGGTGAGGTCACAGCGGTTCACGGTATGCGGGGAGAGGAAGCTCTCAAAAAGAAGAAAGTCCCGCTTATCACTTTTCCATACAGCAAGACAGGCACGCACCTGTGGTTCAGGGTGAGGGTTGGTGAGGTCGCAGCGGTACACAGTGCGGGGGGAGAGGAAGCTCTCAAAGGAAAAGAAAGCCTCGCTGTCGGCACGACGGCCCGAGGAGGAGGAGATAGCACCCATGGGGAGCGGCACGGTGGAGAGGAGGGAGCCGTCGGTGAGGGCGCGGATCTGAAATGGGGAGAGAAGGAGGCAAGAAACGCAATTTTCAGGTAGACAACCAGGAGGAGATTGCAATTGCACTCATGGGGAGCAGCACAGGAGAGGAGAGAGCTGTCGGTAAGGGAACGGAATTGGAATGGAGCGACGCAGAGGCACGCCTGCATACCTGGGGCTCGTTCTTCACGTCACGCATGTAGCACAGCAGCAGCATGCCGTGGTTCAGATTCTTCTAGACGCATCAAAGATTGCCCTAGTAGTGCACAACTGCATACCTCTAGCCCGTTCTTCACGTCGCGCATGTAGCACAGCAGCAGCATGCCGTGGTTCAGATTCTTCTAGACGCATCAAAGATTGCCCTAGTAGTGCACAACTGCATACCTCTAGCACGTTCTTCACGTCGCGCATGTAGCACAGCAGCAGCATGCCGTGGTTGACACACCGGATCCACTCCAACACATCCCCCTCCGCCTCCCCTACCACCTCCTCCCACCTCCCATCCTCTTCCTCTCCCTCCTCCTCCTTCTTCCCCTTCTGCCTGCCCTCTGCACCCCCCAATCCACCCCCCCCCTCCTTGTGTCCACCGTCCAACCCAGTACCCTCTGGCAGAATAATCCGCACCACCTTGCCACGTGGCGCATCCTTATTGGTGTGGAAGGTGAACACAGGGCCGTCGTTGGTCACATAGCTAAACATGCCGTCAAACCGGCCTCTAAGCGTGATGGCAGGCAGGCGCACAGAACCACCATCACCATCATCACCATCCCCACCACTCCCACCATCCCCACCATCCCTATCATCCCCATCTTCTCTTTTAAAGACCACAGTCTCTTCATTCTCATTGTTTGCATCCTTCTCGAGGCTCTCATCAGGTGCAGGGGCAGCGTGAGCTGGAGTGCCATCCAGGCGTCCACGTGGCAGCTGCTGGAGGTTGATGACGTGGACAAGATTGTCGTGGTCGCAGTTCGCCCATGTGCTTATAATGAGGTACTGCATGGTGGGGAATGGGAAAGGTGGAGGACAGGCGAGGCGGAGTGGGGAGGAAAATGGGATGTTATATGGGGACGGACGGACGGAAAGTCTAGTTTTGAGGCGCCTCATAACAAGTCTAGTTTTGAGGCGCCTCAAAACAAGTCTAGTTTTGAGGCGCCTCAAAACGAGGAAAATGGGATGTTATATGGGGACGGACGGACGGAAAGAACACTGGAGGAGCGAAGATGCATGCGGGAGCAGATGGGTTTCTAGGAAAGAGGTGGAGGAGGGAGTTGGTGTGTATTTAGAGGAAAGCTGAACGAGTCGAGCGTGCACAGTTCAAGCAGCAACCACTTGACCCCTCACCACTACGAGCAAATTAGAATCGCCAAATAAAAGAAGCGGCTGGCAGAACGAGGCTTGGGTTGAGCTGTCAACACAACAGTCAACACATCGAAGGGAGAGGGAGAGGGAGAGGGAGAGGGAGAGGGCTGAGAGGGAGAGAGGAGAGCACATGCCTTACCGTCGTCGCTGACTTGTGAGCCGAACATCCACGTGGGATGCGCCTTGCTCTCCCAGCACAGCACGTCGTCAGCCTGCACCTGCCCCAGCACGTGGTAGTACACCCGCTGGTTCACCACCCTCACCGTCCCTGCTGCCCCACCCTCCGCATCCACTCCTGTTAATGGGGTCACGGCAGAGAGGGGGGAGAGAGGGATGGGCCTTGCTCTCCCAGCACAGCACATCGCCAGCCTGTGCCCGGCCCAGCACGTGGTAGTACACCCGCTGCTTCACCAACCGCGCCGTCCCTGCTGCCGCCCCCTCCGCATCCACTCCTGTCGCCGTCGTCAAGGCAGGAAGGGGGAAGACACGGGGAATGAATGAGAGAGGGCGACGACAGGGGCGGACGGATGGGGATGGGATCTTCAGTGTTCTCAGAATCTACGGCAGGGAAGAGAGATCGTGAGGTTGGGAGGAGGGTTGGTTCTATTCAGCCATAAAACGTGTCGTCTTGAGTGAATCAACGCAAGAGAACGTGTGCGAGATCAGAATCAACCCTCGTTACAAGCAATTGACGAAAGTGAGCATAAGCTGGTACTGTCGTATCGGTTGTAAAAGAAGCCCTTGCTACCGTGCGTCCATGCAATGGACGTGAAGGACGCGTTCTTGAGCTATGCCAGTGTCACTTCTGAAAAGTTCCAAAAGTTATGGGATAAAGCACAAGCAGTGTACCGTCATATCGGTTGTAGAAGAAGCCCTTGTTGTCGTGCGTCCACGCAATGGACGTGAATTTCACGTTCTTGAGCTCGCCCGGCTCGTTCTCCTTGCTCCCCACGCGCAGCACCTTGATGGGGTTCCAATCGCTGCCGCTCCGGCTCACAGCGTACGCCAGGTACTCGCCATCCTCGCTAAAAGCGTACGTGCCAAGAGATACAGTCCCGTCGTCGCTCCACGTGTTCGGATCCAACAGCACCTCAGCTTCGTCTTCTAGCGATTTCTGCTCATAAAAGAAGAAATCCCAAACAACGACCACAGTGCAGGATTAAGTTTAAAACTGACACTTTTACCAAGATGCTCCAGCCATAGCCTATCGTGCAAAAATGACTGTCATGATTATCAGCGTACAACTGATAACGAACCTGCACGTAGAGAACACTATGTGCTTGGAGTCCAGTATTGTGAAAGTAGAAGTAGTTGCCACCGTACTTGAACGGACAACCGTACGCAGGAGAATCCATCAGATCCGTCAGTCGCTCCTTCAGCTTCTCCCTATCTTTGATCCCCGATAGAATTTCATTCGTTACTGCATTTTGCGCTGTGACGAAATCGCGAGTTTCCTGGCTATCGGGGTCTTCCATCCAACGGTAGGGATCAGGAATCTTCGTTCCGTGATAATCGTTGACGACGGATTCATCGCGACGAGCCGTAGGGTAACTGATCGCGGTGGAAGCCATGAACCTGCGTATGCGCGAGCTACGCGCAGGTGTATTTGAACCTAGCTTTCCTAAGCTTTGCTGGGATAAGCTTCCGATCCCGACCCGAATGCCTGCCAAGACCAACTTCGAGGCCATAGAAGTTGTTTTGCCTGGCCCTGAGCTCTTTGAGGAGAGACTTGGGCCTTGTTTGGTAGGCACCCAGTCAGACTGAACCCACTCGCACTGGAAAACCCAACATCCAGCTTCCTAGCCAAATGAACCGCTCAGTAGCCAAAACGCAATGGCTAGGTTCGGTGTGCCTATAACGATTTGAGGGGCTTTAGCGTGCTCACATTTGGTTTCGCGAAGCTGCCTAGAGAACTCCGCAGTCAGACTGGGCTGCCTACCGAACAAGGCCTTCTCACATTCTTTTTGGCGTGCTCACAGGGGGAAATGCCCAAAAAGAATGGGTATTTTGACATCTAAGGATGGTGTGACCAGAATATGGATAATTGTAATTAATTGTCCCGAAACCCAAGTCTTTCTGTTAGATTTCTAATGCATTTTTCTCAGAAAGGAAGTGAAATGGAACAAACCTCTTCTATGCACGTTCGAGAATGCTGAAGTACAGTGTTTCTTTCACAAAACCGAAGCATTCCCAGCGAGTCTTCGAAACAGGGTGTCAGACTTCCCGCCAAATGTCTCTACCAATCAGGTGAATTTCTTTCCACCCCCCTCAAACTCTCTTGTTTGGTGTTCCAAATCTCCAAGACATGGTTCACTGGCTGGAGTTTTTGTCTTATCATTTCTCTGAAGCGGAAACTGAATGCCTAATAGGTAGCTAGCTGAAGCTTGTCACGCTGTTTGTCCCTTTCCATACATGTAGTAGCGATCCAGTTATCGCGAAACAGTTACACCGTGTGTCTGCGTGACGAACTCCGTTTGTGTGCCTGCGTGACAGTCATTGCGTTTCATGAAAGTAGAATCTTCGTGTTCAGTCGCTTCATTGATTCACACAATTACCTGAGCTCTTTGAGCTGTTAGATTCTTTACCCTGTCGTTCCGTTACAAAGGCGAAAAAATCAGGAATATGGGCAGAACCAAACCACTTCGGTCGAGTGCGCTAAGCATGGGTTCGCCAAACGTTTCCGAGTCCACAGCAACTCTTCCATCGCCGTCCGTTCCCGGTGACCGAGATGAGTCTTACCGTGCGGATGTCACGAATGTCGACTCCAGTTCCGATTTTGAAGACCCCAAAGTGTCAATATGGCAGGCGTCGCAATCACTTGACCTCAGCGATCGTCCGTTGAAGGTCTACAACCGCCGTCCATTGGCGTCCAGACGAGCTCAGTCGAGACGGTCACGCGGATCCACAACCCCTCGGTATGCATCTATGCCGCGAGCATTCCCATGGAGTAACATCCCATCAGCAGCTGTTGATTTGTTTGTTCTGTAGTGAAACCTCGTCGTGTGCCTAGTTTTTCTAGCTCTTTTACTGGATAACCTGTGTCGTCATCCCCGCACAGACGTCACATGCCTCAGATGACGCATCGCCCTGTGTTCATCGTTACCTCAGGTCCCATTTTCCTGTCGCCGACTCTTCTTAACAGGATGAGGCATGACGAACAGCAGAGGCACACCCAATTCCACCGCGAATTTCCCTTTGTTGCCATATATACCCAATTTCACCAGATCGCCCGCGACTTCAGAATCCAATAGCAGCAGTCAGGCATGCGACTCGGTTCTGTGCGGTGGGAGGAGGCGCGTGTCCGCCTTCGGATCCTCCCTCTCTTGCAGGTGAAGTTTTGTAGTCGACGAAGAGCTCTTGCTATTCCCTTGTGCCTCAAGGCCTTACACAGTGTATAACCGGCAGACGTGGCGCTTATTGCATGGAATACAGAGGCCGATATGGAGAGAGATGGCAATCACCGCTGATCCATGCAGTAGCAAACGGCCATACGAACCACTCAGAAATGCTTGCCAAGACTTGGAATTGAAGAATCAGAGTAAGCAGTGGACCGTGGAGTGGAATCATGCACAATACGTTTCTCACTGTCAGGGTGGTCGTGCTGCTTGATGTTCTGAGAGCACATCCCACTTGATGCAACGCCCTGCTGTACCATCCCAGACCGATCCGTACCCTGAGGCACCTCTTACCGTGACTCTTATGTGTGGCCTCTCCTAACCCTTCATCACCCCATCCCCGCCTCCACTGCTCCGTCTTTCCCCTTCCGTTCACCCTGCTCCACTCAGGGCCCGGAGGTACAGCTTTCTGTCAGCATCGCCCTCCACAGCCAGTGCAACACCGCCCGCAACACAGGTAACTCGTCTCTGTTTTCCAGGTGACTTTTGAGTCGACTCACAAGTCCACTCAGGGCCCGGAGGTACAGCTTTCTGTCAGCATCGCCCTCCACAGCCAGTGCAACACCGCTCGCAACACAGGTAACTCGTCCTCTGTTCTCCCCCGTTCCTCCTCTGTACCCCCTCTGTTCCTCCTCTGTTTCTCCTCTGTTGCCCCTTTGCTGCTCCTCTGATGCTCCCCTTGATGCTCCTCCCGTGACCCCTTTGATCTGATTCTCCTCTGTTGCCATCCAAGCACACAACCAAGGCGTCTCTCCCTCCTTTCTCCGATAAACATCTGCTCCTTCTCCTCGACTTTCCCCTTTTCCTGCTTGCCTTCAGAGTGGAGTGAAGCAGAAGGGAGCGGGCAGAGCAGTGTCAGGGCGGCAGAAGAAGCCGAGCGGCAAAGCAGCAGCAGAGCAGGGCCGGCGGGAAGAGGAGTACCAACGACTGCGCGCGTTCTTCCTGGCAGTAGATGAGTTTGAGATGGAGGAGGAGGAGGAAGAGGAGGCAGCAGAGGAGCGGGAGCAGGCGAACAAGTGGGTGGATAAGGGGAGGGCGAGGGACGAGGGGGTGGAAAGTGTCCTGGATGCGTTTCAGGGGTGGTGCTGGTATGTTCCGCCTGCAGGAGATGGTGGTGGGGAAGAGGATGGGGGAGCGGGTGGGGGAAGGGATGGGGAAGAGGATGGGGGAGGGGATGGGGAAAGGGATGGGAGAGGAGATAGGGGAGGGGATGCGGGAGTGGCGGGCGACTGGGTGCCGGAGTTTATGGCTAGGGAAGCTGGGCTATTGGGTGCATTGCGGAGGGTGGATGAGGGAGGGGAGGAAGGGGAGGAGGAGAACGAGGAGGAAGAGGAGAAAGAGGAGGAAGAGGAGAACGAGGAGGAAGAGGAGGAAGAGGAGGAAGAGGGAAGAAGATGCTTTGAGGAAAAGACAGGAGAAGTGCAAGAGGAGGAGGGGGAGGAGGAGGAGGGGGAGGAGGAGGAGGGGGAGGAGGAGGAGGAGGAGGAGGAGGAGGAGGAGGAGGAGGAGGAGGAGGAGGAGGAGGAGGAGGAGGAGGAGGAGGAGGAGGAAGAAGATACAAGGGAGGTTACCAGGGCCGAGATCTCATTTGACGCATACCTCCACTCACAACTCAGCAGCCTCAAGCTCTCTGACAGAGTCGCCACAACCGCTAGCCCAAGCGCACTGGGCAGCACATTGAGAGGCGGGGAAGGCTCATTGCCAGCAGCAGCTTCAGAGCCAGATTCAGGAGTAGCAGGCGATGTGACGCCTAGCAGAGCTGTAGGAATTTCTCCAGGCGGTGGGGTAGCTGTGCCTGCCAGCACTGCTGTTGGTGAGAGCCGGGAAGGGCAGGCAAGGGAAGAAGGAGACACAGGGGGCGATGGCAGGAGGTGGAGAAGAGAGGGCGGAGCAGAAGGGCAGGGTGATGAGAGTACCGTTGTGCAAGGGTGGCGCGCGGGAGCAGGGCAAAGAGGGGAGGAAGGGGAGAGTACCGTTGTGCAAGGATGCTGGGGCGCTGGAGGTGGGAGATTGGAGGAGGAGGGCGGTGGGGGGAAACCCGAGAGTGGCTGTAACAGAGGTGCCTTTAGCGAGCTGTCAGTAGGGAATGTGTGTGCGGTAGACGGGCTAGGAGGGCAAGGGAATGCGCGAAGTGAAGGGGAGGCGAACGAGGTGTCGTCAAAGGAGGTGTGTTCAGAAGTTGCAGCTTCAGAAAGGGCAGGTGAAATGGAGAGGGAAGAGACAGAGGGGGAGCCGCATGGGTTGGAGTCACAGCACAGACCAAGGCAGTCGCCCGGTGGTGGCAGCACTCTGCTGCATGATAATGACTCAGCAGCACGCAGCAGCTCTCTGTTATCTGGTGACTCTGATGACTGTGCTGAGGGCATGGGCGTGAGCCATGCAGAGGACGTGGTGGACCTCACTCTGTCCAGCAGTGACGACTCTGACGACCCTGATGGCTCTGATGGCTCTGATGGCTCTGATGCCTCTGATGGCTCTGATGGCTCTGATGACGGTGAAGGGGATGATTCCGCCTGTGCTCAGGAGGAAGGGGCAGTGCTGGAACAAGTGAGAAGGGGATATGTGGAGCAAGGCAAGCAGCAGCGGCTACAACAGCAGCAACAGCAGCAGAGGCAGCAGAGACAGCAGCAGCAGCAGCATGGGAGGCAGAGTCTGGGAGCATGTCAGCCAAGCCAACGAGTCCTGAGAAGTAGCACGCGCCGAAACACGCTAGCTCCTGGGGCTTTTGCCACGAAGGGTGCTGCTGGCAGTGGTGGTGATGCCAGTCAAAGAACGAGGGACACAATGGCTGCTGCTGCCCATGTTCACTCTGATCCTGCCCCTTCTCCTGCTCCTGCTCCCTCTCCTTCTCCTGCTCCTTCTCCTGCTCCTGCTCCTTCTCCTGCTCCTTCGCCTGCTCCCTCTCCTGCTCCTGCTCCCTCTCCTGCTCCCTCTTCTGTTCCTTCTCCATCTCCTGTTCCTGCTGCTGCGGATGTGAGCTATACGGCTATCTCTGCTGCGCCTATTGCTCCACCAGAGCATCGAGAAGCACATACTCGCCATAGCATGAACAGCCGCCGCACGTTAAGGAGCAGCTTGGGTGCTTCAGTAGGCACGGAAAGAAGCAGTATTTCCGATAGGAGCAGCACGCGGGCCGTGAGAAGCACTGGGCGCACAAGGACCATGCCTGCCCGTCAACGCCACGAGGAGACGCAGACATATGGGAATAGAGCTGGACGTGCGAGGATGGGGCGTGCGGAGGAGAGGGAGATCGGATCCGCAGATGGGGGTGTGGGTTCTGCTGCTGGAACAGAGAGAGCAGGTGGGGCAGAGGCAGGTGGGGTGCAGGCTTGCGCATTGACAAAGACAAGGGGTAAAGCGAGGGGCAATAGAAAGGGTGAGGCGAGGAGCGAGTCATGTGGTGAAGGGGATGAGGGGCAGCAGGGGGCTGATGTGACGGCACAGGCTGGGGATGAGGGTCGAGAGCGTGGTGCTGACACTCTGTCAGGCAGTAGCAGCATTGATGCGCTCTACAGCAGAAGGAGCTGCAGCTTTGAGGCGGGGAGCAGCGTTGACTGTGGAGCGAGCAAGGAGAGGGTTCCAGAAGCAGAGGAGCAGAGCGTGTGGAAGAAAGATGGTATTGGCGGCCAGGATGAGGGTCAAAGAGAGGAGGAGGAGGGCGGTGTAGGGGCAGAGGTGGAGGAGGAGGATGAGGTGGTGGAGGTGGACGAGGAGGAGGATGGGGATGAGGTGGTGGAGGTGGGGGACGACGAGGAGGAGGAGGAGGAGGAGGAGGAGGAGGAGGAGGAGGAGGAGGAGGAGGAGGAGGAGGAGGAGGAGGAGGAGGAGGAGGAGGAGGAGGAGGAGGAGGAGGATGGGCTGCGTGCGCTGCTTGCTGCCTGCCGCCAGCCGCACATCCACTCCATGGAGCAAGCCGTCACTCAATACTGGTGGGCCTCACTTACTCTCGTTTTTGAGAACTCTCAAAAGTGACCTTTTTCAAGGACTCTCAAGTGTGTCGCCAGCTGCGCATGTGCTCAAGTGTGTGAGAGTTCTAAAAAACGAGAGTATGTGAGAGCACATACTCTCATTTTTAAGGACTCTCAAGTGTGTCGCCAGCTGCGCATGTGCTCTATGGAGCACGCAGGCCATCACTCACTTCTGGTGGGCCTCAATCCGTCGTATTGATTTCATAATCTCTTAGACTTGTTAAATCTATACTTTCTTGTGATTAAGTGCTGCCAGCTGCCCATGTGCTCCCGGAGCAAGCAAGCCTTCACTGCAATCTCGTGGGCCCCTCTGCCGTTCTGTTCCCACTGCACTCTCCAGGGCAGGAGGGCTTCTCACTCCACCTTCCCTCCCCTGCCAGCCAAGGCCCTTCTACCACCTAGTCCCGGTGCCGGCCATCTTCCTGCAGAAAAACCTCACACATTTCCTTTCAAACACTTGGGTATTTTGTATTAGTATGTCTCACACACACCTGTCCGTGTCATCTCACCTTCCGCTCTTGTTCTCACATGGCAGCAACCTGAAGACCATCCGGAAGATAGGGGAGGGAAGCTTTGCAGAAGCGTTTGCAGCAGAGGGGGCGGAGGGTCGGGTGTGCCTCAAGATAGTGCCGGTGGGGGGCCGAGTGCTGGTCAATGATGAGCCGCAGAAGGTGAGAGTGGGTGCAGTGCGGTGAGTGGCGATGCTGCTTGGTGAAAGTGGGTGCAGTGGTATTGATTGCATCACGGATGAAAGTATAAGAGTTCAGTGCAACAAGATAGTGCCGGTGGGGGGACGAGTGCTGGTCAATGATGAGCCGCAGAAGGTGACTTCTCATGGTCGGTGCTGTGTGGTGCAAGTGGGTGCAGTGGTGTGGCACTGGTGCTGTGTGTTGAGGAGGGAAAACGAGAGTGTGACAAGATAATGTCGTTGGGGGGGCGATTGCTGTTGCTGTCAATCATGAGCCGCAGAAGGTGAGTCTGAACTGCTGGTAGTCAGCGATGTGTGGTGAGAGGGTGGCGCCGTGAGGTGCTGAGCAGCAGTGAGGCAATGAGGGTGACTAGAGTGTATGTCAAGGTCATTGGGAGTATGTCGGTGTGAGTCCAGTGCTGCTTAATCCGTGCCCGAACTAAGCTGGTTCTTGTGTGAGCGCCTGAATAGAATTTTCAAATACACAGAGTATGCCAGTGGGAGTCCAGTGCTGCTAAAAGCTGCGTGCAGAGGCAGTCAAGGTCAGCCTGATACGAGACCATTTATAGCATTGTGTGGTGCGGTGAGAAATAGACCTGCATCTGTCTCCTTGTGACTCTGCTCATCTTCCTGCTGCTCTGGTTTTCCCTATGGCCTGGCATGGCATGACATGGCACTGGCATTGGCACGGCACGGCATGGGCATTGACATGGCATGGCATGGGCATTGGCATGGCATGGCATGGGTATTGGCATGGCATGGCATGGCATGGCATGGCATGGCATGGCATGGCATGGCATGGCATGGCATGGTACAGAGCGTTGGAGAGATGCTGGCGGAGGTGGAGGTGCAGATGGCTCTGCAACGACTGAGGCATGGCCACTGGCACGGACACAAACAGGGGCATAAACATGGCGATGGGCAGGAGAACGGGCAGGGGAATGACCAGCTGCACTCAACCGCCTCCTTTATTGACTGTAAAGGGTACGTGTGTGTGTGACTTTAACGAGTGTTCGTGTGACTCTTGGGAGTCGACTCAAAAGCATCCGCCAACATGCATACAGCCTCATGCCACCAAAGTGCTTCTGTTTTAGCTCTTAATCAAGAGCTAGTACAGGGTGCGTGTGTGCAGGGGGGGTTGTGACCACTTGCTCCTGGACGAGAGTGAGGCCTTGACCCCCCCCATCTCCAACCTTTGCATCACTCCCTCCTGCCACGTGTCGTCCCCTGTCCCCTATTCGATGTGGTGTTGGTTTCGGTTGAGTGAGCAGGGTGCGCGTGTGCAGGGGGGTGTACTCGCCTATTCTCCAACCTTCTCATCCTTATCTCCTGCCACGTGTCCTCCCCTGTCCCCTATCGCATGTGTTGCTGGTTGAGCAAGCAGGGTGCGTGTGTGCAGGGGGGTGTACTCGCCTGTGCTCGTGCGGGCATGGGAGGAGTGGGCGGATGAGAACGAGTCGCTCAACGACCACCCAGAAATCTTCCCCTCTGACCAGGTGATGACCATGGCGATTCTCTCTTTCATAGCTTTCGTGACTTTTGAGTCGACTCAGAATTCACCTCGGGTCGCTCAACGACCACCCGGGAATCTTCCCCTCTGACCATGACCAGGTGATGATCATGGCACTGAGTCAACTCACGAATCCTCAAGTGCGATCAGATTGTAGTCAATGGAACTTCATGCCTCTGAAATATCCATGCACCATGCAGATTCTTCCTCTCCCTTCCCTTTCCCTTCCCGTGTGCTGCGATGACTTGGTCCTTCTTGAGCTGGTTGGTTTAAAGCAAGGGTGCACTTTGGGGGGGGTTGTCTCAAAGGTTTATCACTTGCCTCCCCTTCCCCCGTCTGTTCCCCCAACCCAACTGGCCGACGAATTTGATTGTGTTCGCCAGCACATTCTCCAACCCTAGCTCCAGTGTTTCGTATGGTTGGACTCTTCGCCAACCATTCATAGCACCCTAGAGGGTGTACCAAACAAATACACCCGAAAACCACCCCTAGGAATGTGCACCCTTGCTTTAACACGCCTGATCATATCTAACCCACAGAATTTCTGTTTCCTCTCATGCATTCTTCGTCTGCGGCAGGCATACGTTGTCTTTATTCTGGAGATGGGCGGCAGCGACTTAGAGAAGGCCCAAGTGCGCTCCTTCGATGAAGCTCGCAGCATCTTGCTGCAGGTGAGGCGGGTGGGGCAGGTGAGGCGGGTGGGGCAGGTGGGGCAGGTGAGGCGGTCCAAGGTTACTGCTCTAGGTTCAGCTAACCTGCTCAACAACGTGGTATGCCTGCAGTTTGCATCAGGAGGGCTGAACAAAGAATACAAATAAGAGAAATGAAGTCCAAGGGAAGGCCACCGGCCGAAACGCTGATGAAGGCCACCGGCCGAAACGCTGATGAAGGCCACCGGCCAAAACGCGCGTACACTCAGGTTTGAATGACAATTTCTTACCTATTCAATCCCTACTAGCCTAAGCTCAGCCTCGAGGAGTTACCTGCTGGATCCAGGTCGAAACTGTTTTACTATGCTACAAATAAGAGAAATGGAGTCCAAGGGAAAAGGATCCACACAGCTTCAGGTAAGGCTCTCAGCAGTGCGCTCCTTTGATGAAGCTTGCAGCATTTTGCTGCAGGTGAGGAGAATGAGGGACGTGAGGCAGGTACCTCACTGAAGCACTTATGCTCCTCCGTTCCGGCCATCTCCCGTCGTCCATGTGTACCTCCCTCACCACCGCATCACAACCCTCCCCACCGCATCACATCCCACCCAACTGCATGACATCACCTCCCTCCCCACCCCACTGCATTGTGCCCACGTTACCCACCGCCTCACTCCGCCCCTCTGCACCGCATCAACCCTACTGCAGGTTGCAGCAGGGCTGGCAGTGGCGGAGGCAGCGTGTGAGTTTGAGCACCGCGACCTGCACTGGTACGCTGTGGTGTGGTGTGGTGCAATGCGGTGTGGCTGTGGTGCGCAGTGGTGTGGCTGTGGTACTGGTATGCTGTGGCAGTGGCGAAGGCAGTGTGTGGGTTTGAGCACCGCAACCTGCACTGGTACGTTGCGGCTGTGGTAGTGGCACTGGTAAGCTGCGTTGTGGCTGTGGTATGCTGTGGCAGTGGTACGTTGTGGTTGTGGTAGTGGTCGTGTGCGGTGGCGAAGGCAGTGTGTGGGTTTGAGCACCGTGACCTGCACTGGTACGTTGTGGCAGCGGTATGGTGTGGAGCGGCAGGTGGGCGCTGGTACGCTGTGCTGCGGCTGCACACTCGCCTCGCCTCCCATGTAGTCCTCATGCATCGCCATCACACTCCATACACGCAGAAATAGTATCTTTGAATCGTCTCAAAAACCAATGCGTTCGCACTGTTTGTGTAGAATTCCTCGACTCTGTTCCTTCGCATGGCCACACGTCCACCCACGCAGGGGCAACGTCCTCATTCATCGCACACAGGCAAACGGGCCCCAGAGGGCAGGGAAGGGCAGGGGAGCCAATCAGAGGCGCGAGGGGGCAAAGGCCCTGAGTGACTGTACTACCAGCATGAGCAGCACTGAGAACAGCAATGCTAGCAGCAACGCAAACAGTAACAACAGTGGTAGCGGCAAGGGAGAGGGCGGGAGCGGGCAGTGGTTCAGGCTGAATGAGCAGCAGCGGAGCTTCCAAGACAAGGGCGTTCGTGTGGCCATCATCGACTTCTCCCTCTCTCGCCTCCAGTCAGGTGCGTCCCTCTTATCACACTCTCACTGAAAGAACCCTTTGTTTTTTAGGTTCACGCCCCGCAGCAGCATCAGCAGTAGCAGCGGTGCTCGTGCTTCCAAGACAAAGGCATCTGTGTGGCGATCATCGACCTCTCCCTCTCTCGCCTCCAGTCAGGTGCCTCCCTACCACACCCTTTTCTGAGTCAACTCAAAAAGCGCCTCCAGTCAGGTGCCACCCTCTCACAACCTCACTGAAACAACCGCTTTTATTTGATTCACCTGCATCTGCATGCGGGTTATTGAGCGCCTTTCCATGACCTCTCTCTCAGGATTCAACTGGTTTCTGAGTCAACCCGAATTAGTGAAGTTTGAGTCAACTCCAAAGTCACATTATTACCGCGATCTCTACCAGAAAACAGCCATCCTTCTGGCCGAATACCATGGTTTCTATACGTCTAGCTCACAGCCTCTAACTTGTACCTAGTTTTGCTTTAAGATGTCTCAGCTCAAAACTCAGGATCCAGCCATCCTTCCAGGCGATTACCTTTTTTCTATCTAGCTCACATCCACTCACGTCTACCTGCCTGTGCACGTTGCCGCATTCGCATGGGACCAAACTCGTGAGGTACCTAAAAGACTACGTCCTGCTTCCATCACCTTCAAACACGTATGCTCATGCTGCAGGTGCTCGGGTGCATTTCAGCGACCTCTCCCAGGAGCCGTCCATCTTCCAGGGCGAGAAGGGCCACCCCCAGGTGAGTGCCACCCCAGGTGCAGTCCGCTTCAGGTGCAGTGCCGCCCACGTGGGAGCCGCCCCAGGTGCAGTGCCAGCCTCCAGCCACAGCAGGTTCTGTTTTGAGGCTTTAAGAATGCATTCGGCTCCTCTCCTTGCGTCCGCATCTTTTTTTTTGCCTCTGCTTCGCTTTGTAACCAGTTAACGGTGTCAGCATGTATTGCTTCCCTAAGTGAACAATAGTGCTCCAACTACTGCATCATGTGGTGCTGTGTGGTGCTATATGGTGCGGTGCGGCTGTCCGTTCATTTATATGCAGTTTGACACGTACAGAGAGATGAAGAAGAAGACGAAAGGACGCTGGGATAGATGGTAAGAATCAGAACGAAGCTGCACTGGTCACTTCACGTTGTAATGGTCCCTTCAAGTTGTAATCACAGTACAGGTTGTAATGGTCCCTTCAAGTTGTAATCACAGTACAGGTTGTAATGGTCCCTTCAAGTTGTAATCACAGTACAGGTTGTAATGGTCCCTTCAAGTTGTAATCACAGTACAGGTTGTAATGGTCCCTTCAAGTTGTAATCACTGTACAGGTTGTAATGGTCCCTTCAAGTTGTAATCACAGTACAGGTTGTAATGGTCCCTTCAAGTTGTAATCACTGTACAGGTTGTAATGGTCCCTTCAAGTTGTAATCACTGTACAGGTTGTAATGGTCCCTTCAAGTTGTAATCACTGTACAGGTTGTAATGGTCCCTTCAAGTTGTAATCACAGTACAGGTTGTAATGGTCCCTTCAAGTTGTAATCACTGTACAGGTTGTAATGGTCCCTTCAAGTTGTAATCACTCTACAGGTTGTAATGGTCCCTTCAAGTTGTAATCACTGTACAGGTTGTAATGGTCCCTTCAAGTTGTAATCACTGTACAGGTTGTAATGGTCCCTTCAAGTTGTAATCACTGTACAGGTTGTAATGGTCCCTTCAGGTTGTAATCACTGTACAGGTTGTAATGGTCCCTTCAAGTTGTAATCACTGTACAGGTTGTAATGGTCCCTTCAAGTTGTAATCACTGTACAGGTTGTAATGGTCCCTTCAAGTTGTAATCACTGTACAGGTTGTAATGGTCCCTTCAAGTTGTAATCACTGTACAGGTTGTAATGGTTCCTTCAAGTTGTAATCACTGTACAGGTTGTAATGGTCCCTTCAAGTTGTAATCACTGTACAGGTTGTAATGGTCCCTTCAAGTTGTAATCACTGTACAGGTTGTAATGGTCCCTTCAAGTTGTAATCACTGTACAGGTTGTAATGGTCCCTTCAAGTTGTAATCACTGTACAGGTTGTAATGGTCCCTTCAAGTTGTAATCACTGTACAGGTTGTAATGGTCCCTTCAAGTTGTAATCACTGTACAGGTTGTAATGGTCCCTTCAAGTTGTAATCACTGTACAGGTTGTAATGGTCCCTTCAAGTTGTAATCACTGTACAGGTTGTAATGGTCCCTTCAAGTTGTAATCACTGTACAGGTTGTAATGGTCCCTTCAAGTTGTAATCACTGTACAGGTTGTAATGGTCCCTTCAAGTTGTAATCACTGTACAGGTTGTAATGGTCCCTTCAAGTTGTAATCACTGTACAGGTTGTAATGGTCCCTTCAAGTTGTAATCACTGTACAGGTTGTAATGGTCCCTTCAAGTTGTAATCACAGTACAGGTTGTAATGGTCCCTTCAAGTTGTAATCACAGTACAGGTTGTAATGGTCCCTTCAAGTTGTAATCACAGTACAGGTTGTAATGGTCCCTTCAAGTTGTAATCACAGTACAGGTTGTAATGGTCCCTTCAAGTTGTAATCACAGTACAGGTTGTAATGGTCCCTTCAAGTTGTAATCACAGTACAGGTTGTAATGGTCCCTTCAAGTTGTAATCACAGTACAGGTTGTAATGGTCCCTTCAAGTTGTAATCACAGTACAGGTTGTAATGGTCCCTTCAAGTTGTAATCACAGTACAGGTTGTAATGGTCCCTTCAAGTTGTAATCACAGTACAGGTTGTAATGGTCCCTTCAAGTTGTAATCACAGTACAGGTTGTAATGGTCCCTTCAAGTTGTAATCACAGTACAGGTTGTAATGGTCCCTTCAAGTTGTAATCACAGTACAGGTTGTAATGGTCCCTTCAAGTTGTAATCACTGTACAGGTTGTGATGGTCCCTTCAAGTTGTAATCACTGTACAGGTTGTAATGGTCCCTTCAAGTTGTAATCACTGTACAGGTTGTAATGGTCCCTTCAAGTTGTAATCACTGTACAGGTTGTAATGGTCCCTTCAAGTTGTAATCACTGTACAGGTTGTAATGGTCCCTTCAAGTTGTAATCACTGTACAGGTTGTAATGGTCCCTTCAAGTTGTAATCACTGTACAGGTTGTAATGGTCCCTTCAAGTTGTAATCACTGTACAGGTTGTAATGGTCCCTTCAAGTTGTAATCACAGTACAGGTTGTAATGGTCCCTTCAAGTTGTAATCACTGTACAGGTTGTAATGGTCCCTTCAAGTTGTAATCACTGTACAGGTTGTAATGGTCCCTTCAAGTTGTAATCACTGTACAGGTTGTAATGGTCCCTTCAAGTTGTAATCACTGTACAGGTTGTAATGGTCCCTTCAAGTTGTAATCACTGTACAGGTTGTAATGGTCCCTTCAAGTTGTAATCACAGTACAGGTTGTAATGGTCCCTTCAAGTTGTAATCACAGTACAGGTTGTAATGGTCCCTTCAAGTTGTAATCACAGTACAGGTTGTAATGGTCCCTTCAAGTTGTAATCACTGTACAGGTTGTAATGGTCCCTTCAAGTTGTAATCACTGTACAGGTTGTAATGGTCCCTTCAAGTTGTAATCACTGTACAGGTTGTAATGGTCCCTTCAAGTTGTAATCACTGTACAGGTTGTAATGGTCCCTTCAAGTTGTAATCACAGTACAGGTTGTAATGGTCCCTTCAAGTTGTAATCACAGTACAGGTTGTAATGGTCCCTTCAAGTTGTAATCACAGTACAGGTTGTAATGGTCCCTTCAAGTTGTAATCACAGTACAGGTTGTAATGGTCCCTTCAAGTTGTAATCACAGTACAGGTTGTAATGGTCCCTTCAAGTTGTAATCACAGTACAGGTTGTAATGGTCCCTTCAAGTTGTAATCACAGTACAGGTTGTAATGGTCCCTTCAAGTTGTAATCACAGTACAGGTTGTAATGGTCCCTTCAAGTTGTAATCACTGTACAGGTTGTAATGGTCCCTTCAAGTTGTAATCACTGTACAGGTTGTAATGGTCCCTTCAAGTTGTAATCACTGTACAGGCTGTAATGGTCCCTTCAAGTTGTAATCACTGTACAGGTTGTAATGGTCCCTTCAAGTTGTAATCACTGTACAGGTTGTAATGGTCCCTTCAAGTTGTAATCACTGTACAGGTTGTAATGGTCCCTTCAAGTTGTAATCACTGTACAGGTTGTAATGGTCCCTTCAAGTTGTAATCACTGTACAGGTTGTAATGGTCCCTTCAAGTTGTAATCACAGTACAGGTTGTAATGGTCCCTTCAAGTTGTAATCACTGTACAGGTTGTAATGGTCCCTTCAAGTTGTAATCACTGTACAGGTTGTAATGGTCCCTTCAAGTTGTAATCACTGTACAGGTTGTAATGGTCCCCTTCAAGTTGTAATCACTGTACAGGTTGTAATGGTCCCTTCAAGTTGTAATCACTGTACAGGTTGTAATGGTCCCTTCAAGTTGTAATCACTGTACAGGTTGTAATGGTCCCTTCAAGTTGTAATCACTGTACAGGTTGTAATGGTCCCTTCAAGTTGTAATCACTGTACAGGTTGTAATGGTCCCTTCAAGTTGTAATCACTGTACAGGTTGTAATGGTCCCTTCAAGTTGTAATCACTGTACAGGTTGTAATGGTCCCTTCAAGTTGTAATCACTGTACAGGTTGTAATGGTCCCTTCAAGTTGTAATCACAGTACAGGTTGTAATGGTCCCTTCAAGTTGTAATCACTGTACAGGTTGTAATGGTCCCTTCAAGTTGTAATCACTGTACAGGTTGTAATGGTCCCTTCAAGTTGTAATCACTGTACAGGTTGTAATGGTCCCTTCAAGTTGTAATCACTGTACAGGTTGTAATGGTCCCTTCAAGTTGTAATCACTGTACAGGTTGTAATGGTCCCTTGAAGTTGTAATCACTGTACAGGTTGTAATGGTCCCTTCAAGTTGTAATCACAGTACAGGTTGTAATGGTCCCTTCAAGTTGTAATCACTGTACAGGTTGTAATGGTCCCTTCAAGTT